GTGTGAAACGGTGCAGTACTGTGAAGGGTGGGCTTACAGATGGAGACTCCAAGCCCCTCCCCGAGCGCTACCAGCCTGTGTCACACACAGACAGCTCCCCTTCCTGCTCAGGAAACAGAGATACAGATCTGGGGGTCTGTTCCTCCCCAGCTAAGTTACTCCTGGGAGCACAGCCCCACATTTCAGTACATCATGTGTGATGCTCTTTGTCTCATGCTTCGTTTAGCTTTGAGATGGCCTCTCACTCTGCAGTTCAGGCTGGCCTTGAATGCGTGCTCGCCCAGTGAAGATGAGGAGGCTCTGGACAGTGCTGTGGCCAGGAGGAGGTGAGCAGTGACCACATGTGACCCATCCATCCTACAGGCTGTAGAAGATGATCTGGGCACTGCTTCTGGAATGCAGAACGACGGCTTCGGCTTTAGTTAGAGTGAGTCCTGTCTCCATGTCCTGAGACACACAGAGCTAGCTATGCCATTTCCTTCTATCGTCAATTGGCTCTAAGCAATGCAAGTAAGGCTCGCTGAGGTACTGATATGCAATCCTCAATACTAGCCAATGCATCATGTTCCCTGTAAGTGGTTGAGCACAATGGAAAGACAGAGCCAAACAGCTCCAGGAATGTCCACTGGGTATAAGCCTCAAAATAAGAGACTATGACTTCTCAGGGCACAAACGTTTATGTATCAGCAACTGAAGCAACAGCCTCCTAAATTCTTCTATGCAATCCCAGCTGAGTTATGCAGCCTGGTCTTTCTGCACAAACCTTTCCCTGCATATTGTAGAGGTACATTCCTCTTCACTTGGCCAGCTCAGCTCACGTTGCTCATATAGTTCCTACCTCACTGAGTGTCACCCATCCTTGGGCCACTCCCTTCTTCTCGAGATAATAAATTCTAGATGAGACTTTGGATCAAGGCTTTTGTTCCATGTATCCTCTCCTGGACTGGACTCAGGACCCCTTGACTGCTCTAACTAGAAATATATCTCAGTGTCTTTATTCTCACCATGGGTTGCCCTGGAGGTGGTAGATTGGAATTAATTCACCAGGATTACAATAATGTATCAATGGAATTAAAAGTACAACTTTCTGGACAGCAAGGTGAATGGGAAAGGGATGGTGGTATTTGAATTACAGAACTGTAAGAGATGACAACAGACAGCAGTACTCCGGGGCCTGGGGAGATGCTCCCGAGGAGGAGCTATGTGACTCAGACTCTGTCCTGTTCATGGACAGGAAACCATGGGGCCAGATCACATGGGGTGCACAGGCATGACTGACCCTCCCCAGGGTGTCAGTGTCCCGAGATAGCATGTGGTGTGTTAACCTTGGGGTGAGGCGTGTGCATGGGAAAACCCAGGTCTTCGTCCGGTTGTGTTGTTTTGTTTTTCTTTTTGGTGCCAGGGATCAAACTCACGACCTCGTGTTTGCCAAGCAGGCAGTTACACTGTTGAGCTAAACCCCCCGCCTTTTGTTTTTGTTTTGAGGCAGGTTCTCAATATGTAACCGAGGTTGGCCTTGAACTCACAGCAATCCTTTTGCTTTAGCCTCCTGAGTCAGGGTAATCGCAGGTAAGAACCGCCGCACCCGGCTCCTATAGCATGTTTTGTTGAGACAGGGTTTTACTATGCAGTTCAGGATGGCCTTAAATTCACTTTGTAGCCCAAACTGGTCTTGAACACACAGCAATCCTCCTGCCTCAGCCTCCCAAGTACTGGGATTATAGGTGTGTGCCACCACATCTGTAGCACTAATTTTTTTTGGGGGGGGGATGTTTTTGAGGTAGGGTCTCATTGTGCAGTTCAGGCTGCCCTTGAACTGACTTTGTAGCCCAGATTAGTCTAGAATTTACAACAATCCTTCTGGAACCTCAACCTCCCAAATGCTGGGACTACAGGGGTGTGCCACCATGTTCGGCTTGTAGCACCAATCTCAACAGTTCGGGTAACGGTAAAAACACTGTTTAACACCCCAGAGCATGTAGATCTGCGATACTATGAAGGCCCACATTAACAAAATGCTCATTTATAAAAGCTCTAAACAGAGGTAAAGCAACAGTGATTTGTTTTCCTCAAATTTGGGAATTAGATGCCTTTTTTTTTTCCTTTTTATCTTTTTCCTTTTTATTGGTACTGGGGATCGAACTCACAACTGCCTGCTTGCAAGGCAGGCGCTTATGCCGCGGAGCTAAATCCCCAGCCTAGATGCCTTGTTATTAGGCTTCTTACTAAACTCTAACTGGGCTTGAATAGCCTGAAGTCAGTACTCAGTGTGTCTCTGGTGATCAGCTTTGCTACACAAACCAGCAGCTAGCTCCCACAGGTTAGCAGTGGTGATTCTTTCTCCCAGCAGCTTTTTGAAACGTCATTTACCTGCCATATAATCCATCCCTAAGAGCACGGCTCAGGGGTTTCCGGTCTACTTACAGAGCTGTCCCATTTCACTGAAGGTGACAGCCAGGACACAGGGAAAGACGGAACTGGAGGAGTGGGGAGCACAGAATGACCTCTTCCAAGCCTCAGCCCATGCTGGAGCCCAGCACCTCCACACGTCCCATTGTGATGGACCCATCCTGGGTTAGCACCATGTCCAATCACCTTCCAAAGCCCCACACTGAACACACAAGCTTTTGGGAACATTTTGGATCCAAGCCATAAGAATATACAAAGATGGGCAGGATATGGTGACAGAGGTTATTGGCTTTTCAGTTCTGCTTTTTATTTATTATTTATCTATTTATTTACTTGTCTTTTTGAGACAAGGTTTCACTATAGAATTTGGGCTGGCCTTGAATTCACTGTAGTGCAGGCTGTAGTGCAAACTCTGCAGGATCCTCCCGCCTCAGCCTCTGAAGTGCATGGATTACAGGTGTGTACCACCATGTATGCTTTATTTTTCAATTTCAGTGTTATGGTTTGAGTCTGGATGTCCCTCCAAAGCCTGACTGGGTTGCAGGGGAAAGGCTTCTAGTTGGTGACTGATTCGTGGTCCAATGCTGGGATTATGGTGTGAGTGTTACACCCAAGGGTATGTGGTCCACATACAACAGAAGGGACACAAAGAAGTTTAGCATATGCTCCTCCCTTCTTTGTTCTTGTTGCTTTTGCTGTCATGAACTGTTGCCCCAGTGCCACACTACCATACCTTGGAGCTAGTGTACTATGGACTAAAACCTCAACAAACTGTGAGCTAAATAAACCCCTCCTTCCTTCATTTCGGGTGTCAGATATTTTATTCCTTCCAAGGGAGGAAGTCACTGTAAATTTACAGGAAGTTACAAAAATAAAAGCAAAAAAACAAAGGTCACCTGTATATTTTTTTTAACTTGGATTCACCTGCTACCATTTTACACCCAACACACACACACACACACACACACACACACACAGTTTTCCTTCTAACCCATCTGAGAGAGTCATATGCACCATGGCAACTCACTCCCAATGCTTCTGGGCACTTCTAAAGCATGGAGGCCTTTATTACATCAGCAGGGCACAGCCTGCACCTGGAGCCCATTAGAACAGCACCAAGTCTGTTTATGGTCCCTAGAGGATTCAAGTAGATGGTAGAGACACAAGGAAATTCCCCAGAGACTCATATCTAAATAAACTGTGGAGGGGGCTGGGGTATAGCTCAGTAGAATGTCACCTACCTGGCAGGTGCGAAGTCCTGAGCTTGATTCCTGGTTCCAGAATAAATAAATTAACTTACTAGATCAAAATGGAAGTCACAAGAGAATATTTTGACAGTATTGTGCCTACCAAGTCTTTTTTTTTTTTGGTACCGGGGATGGAACTCATGACCTCGAGTTTGCCAGGCAAGCACTTATACGCTGAGCTAAATCCCCGGCACCTTTGACAGTATTGTGAATTCTACAATGTTAAGCAATTAAATAGCCAGATGCAGTGTGGTGGTGCATGCTTGTAATCCCAGCAATCAGCTGAGGCAGGACCACCCAGAGTTTGAGGCCAGCCTGAGTGACGTAGTGAATTCAAGGTCAATACATAGCAAGACTCTGTCTGAAAAAAACAAATGATAATGCCTAACTCTGGCAGTTTTGAGGTGAGGCCCCCCCAATACATTTGTGATGATACTGGCAACAACAGAAGAGGATGAAAATGATCCCATCTTCTGACCTAAGAGTTCCACTTTTGGGGATCTATCCAGAAAATAAAACAGAATGCTGTCCACAGTGAAAATTTTATAACAGTGGGTTTGGTGGTACACACCTATAGTCTCAGCACTCAGAAGGCTGAGGCAGGAGAATCGCCATGAGTTTGAGGCCAGCCTGGCTACAAAGAAAGACCCTGTCCCAGAAGAAACGTCACTACATTCTGGATCAGAGCTGAGCATGGGTGGTGCAGCCCTGGGTCAGCGCCAGGCATGATGGGGGCCGCGGTTGCACCATCCTCAGTCTACACATGAATGAAAGTGTTCAGACCTTACAAACATGAACCTAGGAGTTGGGGAGCACAGGCACAGCCTCACATCCAGGGGGTGAAGACTCTCAAGACACTTGTAGCAACCAAGTCAACCTCCATGGGCACGGTTGCTGGCTCGCTGCTGGGCTCTGGATTTTATTTTTTGGCTCGAACAAAAACTAAAAAGCCGAAAACCTGGAAGAAGGGAGAGGGAGAAACAAAGAGCCAGGGGATGGCACACGAGGGACACGGGGCCCAGGCTGTTGCCAGTGCCAGGGTGACCCTCACCTGCCAGCCATATGGCTGTGCTTCTACTCAGGGTGCAGGCCTCCACTGACCCTGCACTCACACCAGTGTGGACTGTACTTCTAGAAGTAACAGACTTCTAGAAATGCTCCTAGGGTACACACCTCCCCTGCCCTGGCACTGCGATGCAGGTCCTCAGATAGGGCCACCCTGGCCTCCACCTGCTCTCCTGGGAAAGCAGAAGCCCACTTGGCCGCTCGGCTCCCAAGATGGCTTCCAACACAGGGAGAAGGAACCCTTGGGTCCTCACCAAGGCCAAGTTAAGAATGCAGACAGGGAAAGCAACATGGACATTTATTCTTTCAGGCTGTGACCAAGGTCAGCAAAAGAGATACAGGACTCCAGGGTCCTGGAAGCCTCCAGGACTCAGTGACAACATAGCATCTATTAAGGACAGGTCAGCAGCCACTTCTGGACCCACCTGTTACTGGGGCAACTGGGTACCTCTTGGCCACCACTTTCACCCTGGATGGGAAAAGGTGGGCTCTGTCTGAGCGCCTGGGGATGGCAGCCACTTGCAGCAGCACCGCTGATGGAGGTGACATTTGGCTGGCGAAGCCACCCCAGAGAGGATGGAGTGATGGTGGTGAGGCCGCCCCACTGCTGCCTCAGGGGCTGCACCCATGGGGTACACTGGTCACTTGTGGGTTCTTATGCAGAGCTGTCCCCACACACGTATACAGGGAGCGCTGCATCAGCGCCGCAGCCGCAGGAAGAAGGCGTGCTTGCACTCGGTGCTCTCTAGTGGGTAGTACTTATCGTAGAAGTCCAGCACATACTCCTCGGTCTTGAACCCGAACTTCTGGTACAGCAGCATGGCAGGGTTGCTTGCAGAGACATGCAGGGTCACGTCCTTGCCCATGCAGGTCTGCAGGGGAGGGCGAGCACATGAGTGAGCCAGAGCAGCCCTTCCCCAGCAGGAACTTGGTGTACACACAGGGAGACCTAGCGCCTCTCAAGCCACAGGACGCTTTGCTGTGATCTATGCGTCCTGAGACCTGGGCATCGCTCCCCCGTCTAAGGCAAAGGACCAAGAGGCACGTTTAGTCAATTTCACTGTTTGACTGTAATTCAATCGCACTCTACCTGAGGCCTCTAAGTCATCAGGGTTCTGGCGCAGGTCACTGACAGGGTCCTTTCTCCACCCCCTCCCACCCAAAGGCATTTGTGCTCTAGGATGAAAGACAGAATACCAGCCTATACCAGGATCACCACCCACCAGCCTGGGCTCCATAGCAAGCTCAAGGCCAACCTGAACTAGACAGCAGCACCCTGTTACGGTTTGTGTCTGGATGTCCCCCTAAAACCTCACGTAGTCACAGGAGGCAGGCTTTGCGGAGGTGGCTAAGCTTAGAGTTTGTGACTGATTCACAGCCCAATGCTGGGAGTAACGGTGTGAGGGCTGCTTTAGGGCAGGTGGCCTGTGTACAATATAAGGGATGGAAAGAGGCTCTCCCTTCCCTCTCCTCTGGTTGCTTTCGCTGTCTTCCTCTGCCATGACCTGCTGTCCCTCTGCTGTAACACTCTGCCTTGGAGCCAGCTGATTATGGAGTGAAACCTTCAAAAAAACTGTAAGCTACATAGACCTTGCCTTCCTTCATTTTGGGCGTCAAGTATTTGGTCTCACTAATGAGAAAAGTAACTAAGACAGACACTGTCTCAAAAAAACAAAATAAATAAACAAAATAAAGTGAATCTTGCCCACCTCAGGACTCTACAGAATCCTCCATAGCTATCAGCTCCTAAGTCAAAGTTTCCAGAAAAGTTCTAGGGAGCAAATTTCCCCACACTGTTTTACATTAGTAACAAACACACAGCATGTTTTCTCCACAGGTGAAAGGCAGAGGTTGAAGGACAAGCTCGGTCTTAGAACTCAGCCTCAGCAAGGTCACACCTACACTCATGAAGGTGAAAACAGGAACCCAGCTCAGCTCAGCTCTGAGTGGCAGACTGGGGCCACAGTGGGCAGCAGGCCCAGCGCACCCCTGTCAGCATCGTGGAACACAGGTGTTCTGGAACTGCTCTCCCTGCACCCTGGGCCGAACAGCAACCTCACCATGGGGTTGGAGCCCCACAGTGTTGACCACTGCCCCCCTTTTTGCCCCCAGGCTCTACCCTGCCAATGCTTGGAAGGACTAGCTAGGCCTCTTGGCCTCCTTTAAGCCCCCAGGCGCCCCAAGAGGTAAGTGCACAGCCCATGCGAAGGCACGTGCGAAGCCAACTCGCCTGGATCAGGTGATAGATCATGAAGGTTGCAATGCCTGCTCTTCTCCATTCGGGGTGGACGAGCAGGAACGAAATGTAAGCTTCATTGTACTTCACGTCGGGAACCATGAAGCCAAAGGCGATGATGACTTTCTTATAGAGGACCACCACGCTGAAGTCAGGGTACTGTAGGCACTCGGACAGGTCAATGCCTGAGAGAAGGGAGGACAGAGATGGAGGCTTGCTCTCTCCAGGACTCAGCAAGGCCAAGTCTGCACTTAGAGCAAAAAAATCCCCAAACCGATGCTGCCATAAATTCCACAAAGATATTGCCACAGACACCACACACTCAACTCATCACAAGAACTTCAGGAAATATCATAGTCAGCAGCCTCTTCCAAGCACATGCCTTGGCAAGAGAGGCAGGGCTGCAAGGCAGCAGTGCACTTGGGGCCTCTGGCCTCTCCACTGCATGTGACAGGGCCACTGAGAATGTCTTGGGGCGTCGTGCCTGCACACCCCGCCACAGACAGTGCAGAAGGCCCTCAGCAGGAAGCCCCTAGCTCACAACAGAGCAGCGACAAAAACACATCCTGGTGAAAAGCAAGAAATATGCTGGGCAAAAAGGCAGAGGTCACAGGTGTTCCCAGAATCCCACTCTGGGCCCCAGAACCAGTCAGTCCAGAGGAGAATGTCCAGCTGCTACCACTCTGCCATCACACAACTACAGATAGATGGCATGATGCGCCTCTGCGGGGCTCACCCTGGACGTCTGAGGAAGAGAGCTATTCCTCCTCAGGTTCCTAAGCACCCAGCAGAAACCTGTTCTGCTCAGCACAAAACCTGTGCCTTTAGCTGATGGCCTGGGAGACAGCTAAAATAGCAAAGCCCACGGTCTTATCCTATCTGCAATCTGGGATCAGCGGATTTGCCTTTTTAAAAATGCCCTTGGGCTGTGCTGCCGATAGGGATCAGGAAAACACACAGAGCATATGGAGTTGTTAAGATACACCCCAGTGTCCGTACATGCCCAAGCTGCCAGTCTGTGCTCTGTGGTAGACACACATCACCTCATTCTTACACAAGGGCAGAAGCAGGGCAGGAGAACCTTTTATGCTGGAAGCAGGAACAACCGGGAAGAGGAACAACAAGGACGCTGTTTATTACTGTAACTCTGGGCTTCCTCTCCATCTCAGGATAGTGAGAATCATTTAATTTCACTATTTCTACGTCAGCAGAGACAAACTGCATGAAATCACAGGAGGAAGCTGGGTGTGGTGGGGCACACCTGTAATCCTAGCACTTGGGAGACTGAAGCAGGAAGACTGCTGTGAGTGCAAGGCCAGCCTGCGCTACAGAGCAAGACTGTCTCAAAAAGGAAAAAGGGGTCGAGGATAGAGGTCAGTGGCACAGCACCTGCCTGGTAAGTGCAAGATCCTGAGCTCGATTCCTGGTACCCTCCCCCTCCAAAAAAAATCCCATGAGGAAAGGTTGTAAGGATCGGTCACATGGCATACACTGATTTAAAAACTTCCAGGGTGAAGTCTACTAAAATCCATCTGCCTGGGTTTGAGGGAGAACATACCAGGCCAGAAAAATTCCTGGCACATGGAGTTGATTGTTGGGATGTGATTTGGCCGGACATAGCAGTAATCAAGGGGTGCATCAGGCTCAGGTGTCCAGTGAGGGTCACTTCTGTGCAGGTAGGAACGAATCTGGGATAGAAGCTGTAGCTTGGGTGGCTTTGTCTCATAGTCACGCCTACAGAACATAGAAAATAAACAAAGTCAAGAAAACCCCCAGGGTTATTTCCAGTTAGATGACTGAAATACACTTTGATATATCCGAAATCTTAAACTAATTTGCACCACTTTCTGTGGTAACTAGTGTGATTACAGTTAGAACACTTCTTTGGCACGAAACCTGAAATTCATGGGCCAAACCCCTCATTGCCCTCTGGGGGCGGCATGAGGCAAAGAAATGCAACAGCTCAAGGTTCGCTCCCCATGTTGGCGAGCTCACCACAGGTCTGTCAGGAAGCAGGGCTAAGTAGGGAGGACCAGGGCCCACAGACACTGGGCCTACGCCACAGTGCCAGCACCATGCACTGTGGGCCTCTCCAGGGAGTTCTGCTTCCAGTTTATTGCCTGGACCCATGCTTAGAGAGGTCCCAACGTCCAGGCCAGATACTGAGACACTGTTCCTGCTTTACTCCATTCCACAGAGTAATAAATATATACAACTTTAATATTTAAAACAAATGATAAATTATGATAATCACAAAGAAACATCAAGTTAACATGTTTTTGTATGTCTTTCAAAGGATCATCTTGTCTGTAACTGGGTTTGAGCACTAATGCCCCCACCAGCACATACCCTGGCTCTCTTGTCCTCCTGCAGGCACACCCTGACCAAGAATGGCCTCGCATTCTCTCTTCGTACCTGATGTAGGGCTTCAGGATCCGGGAAGTATAGGGGCTGACAATGCTCTGGTCCAAAGCCAAGTCCTCCGAGCCCACCAAGCGATACAAGAATTTGCTGGTCTGGTGCCGAAAGCCCTTTCTGGATGGCAAGGCCGTCTACTCAAGGAAACAGCGGTTACAGAAAGATCAGCTCCATATGGAAGTGACGCTTATCACCATTCTATGTAGCAGGAAGTAGGCCTTTTGGCCTTACCGGGACAATTCAAATTTTAATGCAAACCTTGCAGGCACCTTGACCTAAAGTGAGATATAGAAACCTATCCCTGGTTTTAAAAGTTTAAAGGCAAAATATTTTTTAAAACTCTAAAGTTATTTATAAATCCTGTCATTTCAATGAGTGAAACACAGGACTCGTGGCCTCTCCTGGCTCCTGTTGGCCATGTCAGGCACCTTCCACCGCTTGCTAATAGCCACCGACACCAGGCCTAAGGAGCTCACAGCCCAGGTCCCACTACAGGACCACCTTGTTATCCTGAGAGCAGGAGCAACTACAGCTGTCCGTGTGTCTGGATTTTTAAAAATACTTTTCATCAATAAGAGTCACACAGAGGTGGCTGTTGGTAGGGACTATACCTGGGGCTGTAGCTGTGCACTAACAGAATGTGTACATAATATCAGCGTTTTATAGCAGAGGGTGCAGACAGGAGATGAAGAGGCGCATTCATGCAGTCATTCAGTGCCAAGAGGTAAATGATGTTTACAAACCCGAGTTCTTTTTGTAGAATCAGTTTGCTCTTAGCTTAGAAAATAACTTTGTTGAAAGAAGAGCAAGATTTCTTCCTTTGTTCTCATACTTTCTCAACCTGGACACCAACATTTTCAAAGGCCAACCCTGAAATCCTTCCAGGGCTTAGAGCTTCAAAGTAATAGTTAAAACAGTGGTGAAGGTTTCCAAACACACCCACAAAGGATGCCTCCCAGCCCTAGAGGAGGGAGCGGCTCCCCAGGTCCAGGGCAGAGAGGATCTCTCCACCTCAGGAGTCTGGATGGCTTTGTGAACGGCTGTGACCCATCAGAGAAACCAGCAGGAGCAATGGCCTGGGACAGGAGCCACTGGCATCCAAGACCCAAGAGACCCAGCTGTGGCCAGTCTGCCACAGCTGCTGAGGAAACTGTAAACTCACCAAGCTCCAGGTGGTTCCTGACATAGCACAGGACACTGGAAGCCCAGCCACAAACCACAGGGCCACAGAATATGCTCAGCACCTGCTTAGTCTCTCCATGAGACCTCTGGGCCCATGCTTGTCCCCTGCACTAAGCTATCCTTCCCTCTGCCTGGCCACCACTGTGGCTGCCTGCTGTCCATCTCTGCACCATCACCTCACATGACCACAGAGGCATGCATTCGTGCTGGGCGTGGGGGGTGTACCTGGAACCTCAACATTTGGAAGGCTGAGGCAGGAGGATCACTGTAAGTTGGAGGCCAGCCTGGGTTACACATACGTAATAAGACCCTATATCAAAATTCCAAAATTAATAACAAAATACAAACTTACACACATCTGTTCCACAGGCCCTGACACCTCTGCAGCTCCTCTGGAGCTTGCTGGGTCCTGCAGGACCAGGTGCTGCCACCCCCTTTCTCTGCCATCCCCGTGTCCTCACCACACCAGCCTCATTGTTCCTGGCTGACTCCTGGCTGTCTCAGTTAAAAGCAGCCCTCAGAGCATCCAGCTGCCCAGCCTAGCCCCATTAGGCCGGGAGACCTGGGGCACAGTGAGCTATCACTGCTACCTCCCTCCCTAGGTGTCAGCGCCAGGGGCACAAGGATCCTACCAAGCAGAGTGCTTGATACGGACTAAGGAGCCAATCTACACTCGCTGAATAACAAGTTGATGGGGACAAACTAAAGGCAGGAGCCTGGGTCCTGACATGGTGGAGGAGAGGGCAGCCAGGCTCCTTCCTGGACCTGCTGGGAAGCTGGGATGCAATATGGAGAAGCGGCACTTCTCTGGGGAAGCAAGAGTTGATGTAGCTGCTGAGTGGATGCCAGAGGCAACATGAGCGCAGGTGAGGGGACACCACTGCGACAGCTGAGCCATCACTGGCAGTGACAGAGCCTCTGGGAGAAAAGGCCATGCCAGAGCCAGCAGTCACAGTGACACAGGAGGCAGTGGCCCACACCCCTGCGTCTTACCAGGAGGGGCTCCGACAGGCGAAGGAAGACCAAGGGGCAGAGCAGGGTGCACTCCCAGGAAAAATCAAGACACATAAATGAGCGCAAGGGAAAAAATGGTGCCCACATAAACTCTGGTCCAGGAAGGCAGGATGATCCACCGAACAGACAAGAATGCTCAAAGGCAGGACACACAGCCCTCAGGGAAGCTCTGACCCCAACTGCTGGATGACTGCACTACACACCAATGGTGCTATCACCAGAGAGAGTGATACAGGGGGCACAGGCACCAGAGCCCCACAATGTGCTGCGGTGGGCACAGCCTGGCTGGCTTTCTGGGTGTTTACCAGCAGGACCCTGACTCAGGAAGCCCCTTCCCCAGCTAAAGCAGCATCACTCCCAATGGTCACAGACAAGAGACAATGCGCATTCACCTAACAGGGACTGTGTGTGCTGAGGAGGGTTACTGGGTCACACTTGGTGTGCTTGTGGAGTCACAAGCACAAACAGCAGGGCAGCACCATGAAGTGAGCTGCAACATGGGCGGATGCTGCTATCTTCATGCCTTGGGGAATATGTGGACCAGAAAAGACCTTGAGTCATTGATGCACAAGGCCAGGGGAGACAGGCCTGAGAGGGAGGTGAGCGGGTGGTCCGATGGGCTCAGGCTTCCAAGTTAGGAAGCCCTGAGTAGTGTGGATGCTGCTCTGATACTTGAGGGGCCGCTAAGCTGTAAGCTTTCAGGGGTGAATTATTTGGTAAATGAATTGCATCCCAGTGAGAAAACACCTGACAAACAGGCCCCAGGGTCAGGAGAAAGCTGGGCAGGAAGGAGTTGGGGGCGTCTCTTCCTCATGACTGAACGCTACATACTCAGTGTTGGGGACGGAAACTAAGTGTGCAGCAGCTGTGAGGGAGGCTAAGGGCTTCCTGGGAAAGCCAAAGGCAACACTGGCTAGAACAAAGGACGGCAGTGAGCACAGTATGAACCCCGAAGGAGAGGTAGAAGGTACAGAGGGGTTAGTATGTTTAAGAGAATGCAACGAGGGTATCTGGGATTCAAGCAGCACATCTGAGGATGCCTGGTTTCCAGTCTGGATGCAAGGAGTCACTCTGTCCTAGCTAGCACAACCGGAACAGCTGGGCGTGATGGCACATGCCTGTAATCCTAGAACTCGGGAGGCTGAGGTAGGGGGATCACCATGAGTTCAAGGCCAGCCTGGGATGCATAGTGAGTTTCAAGGCCAGCCTGCATTATATAGCAAGACCCTGCCTCAAAAAACCAAAACAATAAAAAAGCTGAACAAACTGCAAAAGGCTATCTTCCAGACCTGGACCAGAGTGGAGGGACAGAGAGGATAGAGAGAAAGGTGACCCACTGGAGGACCAGTGGAACCAGTTCCCACCTAGTCCCAGAGCACTTCCATCTTTGGTCGGGGGAAGCAGGGTGCCAGAGCCCTGGCAGGCAGCCTCATACCCTTCCCTGGGCTCCCTTCCCAGCCAGGGCTCCTTCCCCTCCTCCACCCCACACCCCCAACCCCCCAGTCTTCCCAGCAGGGCAGGAGACAAAAGGCTCAGGTAGGACGGAGCACTTTCCAGTCCTCCAGAAAAGCTTCCCTAGTGCTGTTGTCTTCAGGGACAGGAGCCCCACCCCAGCCCACTGTCACTCTCCAAGTCACTCTCCCACCTGGGCTGAAGGGAGACAGAGTGATAGGCTCCCAGGTCCCAGGACTAAGCACCCAGCCCCACATGACCCAGCCCATCGCACCACAGCAACAGAGGGCAACAGAGGGCAAGGGAGCTGGGCTGAGGCAGACGGTGTGGCCTCTCCCTGCCCACGCGATACCTTCTTTGGGGTACGCAGCGCTTTCAGCTCCTCCTAAGGAACCATTTCACGCCTCTTTTTTAAAAATCAGTTTGAGGAAACAGAACAAGTCTCAGAAGGATGCCTTGACTCAGAGATGTTGAGACCACTAGGCGGGAATTTAAAATAACTGTGACTCATATGTTAAGCATGCAATGGGCAAAGGAGACGATGGGCAAAAAGACAAAACACACACACACACACAAAACAATAGGCATTTTTTTTTCTTTTCTTTTGGTTTTTTGAGACAGTCTTAGTTCATACTGAGTCCAAGGCCAGCCTGCACTACAAAGCAAAATCCTGTCTCAAAAAAGAAAGAAAAGGAATCAATTAAACAAATCACCAAAGGATAGCTTAAAACTCACACATATCCAAAAGCAAAAAAAAAAAAAAGAAGCACTAAGCCTTGAGTTAAGGAAACAAGGAGGAAAATGACAGAGCAGAGGGCGCTTCCCTCCCCAGGATACTGAAGTCCCCAGGAGTAGATGGCGGTGCACCTGCCCAGGACCTAAGCCCTGCCTGCCACGCACCCCAGATCATGACTAAGGCACTGCTAAGGCCTGCTCGGCAGGCTGGGCTTCTCAGGACTTGCCACGTGGTCTCCAGGGCACAGAGCCGAGGCATCAGTGTAGGGGCAGTGCGGGGGCCCCCATTGTGCAGTGTGCCATGCCCTCTTTCAATGTTGGAATAAAGAATTTTAAAAGGGAACTTTGTTACTGCTACACGTGAATCATCTTACATACTTTACATGCAGCCCAAGGCAATTCCTCTGCAACATGGCCCAGTAAGCCAAAGGCTGGTCAGCTGTGGCTTAGAGAATAAGAAAAAGCCCGCACACGTTCACAGCTTCCCTCAGTACATTTGATTTGTGGTTTTCTAGGTTATACCTGGAATGTCTAATATAAAGAAAACATTTAGCTATATTAAGAGGTATTTATACTCAACAGTTTGAAAACATATTCCTCCCAAAATTTTGATTTTTTTTCTTTTTTTTTTGTCTTTTTCCTTTTTATCGGTGCTGGTGATCGAACTCACGACTGCCTGCTTGCCAGGCAGGGGCTTATGCCGCTGAGCTAAATCCTCAGCCCCAAAATTTTGATTTTTTTGAGACATGGTTTTGCTATGCAATTTACCCTGGCCTCAAACTTGAAAGGATCCTCCCGCCTCAGCCTCCCAAAAGCTGGGACTACAGGTGTGGGCCATCATGCCCGGTTAAAACTGCTGATGACTTCAATACTCTCAGCATCACAGCATCCACTGTGCGATGCCCATCTCTCCACACAGCCCCCAACAGCTCACCTGGTAGCGGTCAAGGATTCTAAAATCCTGGCAGGTGGTCCGGTAGGTGGCCTGTCCAGCCGGGAGCCGGGACAGGCCCCCATCCTTAGCTCCATAGATTCCATCCACAAGCAGCAGGGCAGCGCTGACCATCTGGTCCAGGTCGAAGAGTGGCAGCCCCCGGTCCCGCTTGGCCTGCCGGACGAGGAGCTTGCGCTTCAGCCTGCGTGCCTCGGGTGTCATGGCCACAGCGCCGGGACAGGCCTCCAGCCGGCGCAGCAGCAGCTTCTCCTCATAGATGCTGGCGGGCATGCACCGGGGTCCCTGGGGCCGCGTGTCCTTCTGAAGGGGTGGCCTCCGCTTGTCCCGCACCCGGGGCTGCAGGGATGCGCTGGAGTCCGTGTCCTCACTGTCCAGATCGGCCCTGTCTGGCTTCTCCTCCTCACTGTCCACCTCCTGCTTGATGTGCTCGGGGGCTCGCACCTTCTTCCTGCCTGCGGACCCCTGGCCCAAAGCCACGGGCCCCAGGGATGGCGGCGGGTCCTCTACTCCAGGGTCAATGTCACCATCGCCATCCAGCTCGTCATCATCTGCACATGGCACAAGCAGTGTCACCAAGGCCCACAGATACCCCTGCCCTGGAAAGGCTGGCCGTGCCCCCTTACCATGGAACAATGCCTGCGGGGGCATAGCATCAGGAATCAGGTCGGCCTCCGACAGCAGGCTTGGTGTGGCTGAGTGCGATGCCGGTGTCCCAGGCGCAGAGAAGTCCAGCGAGGGAGATGGCGAGGGGCTGGTCAGCGGCGTGCGGTCTGAGGAGCTCAGCGATGCGAAGTCAATCACCTCGCCCCGCTCCAGGACCACATCCGGCCGGCGGGCCCGGCTTGCAAACTTGACTGGGGTGGATGCTGGGCTGCGGTCCAGAAAGCTGGCCGCTTCCTTCTGGGCCCGCCGGATGTCCTTGGCCTCCTGCGTGCGAGAGCGCTTCTCCTTCAGCTCCATGGCTGACTCCACAGGGTTCCGGCCAGCTCGCTTCCTGAGCCCCTCCACTGTGATGATGGGGTCCAGCACAGGCTTTGAGGCTGCCGCAAAAGCACAGGGGCAATGTCTTAGAACGCCATTCCCCCCAACTCTCTTCCCAGGAGTGCCACCATGTGTCACACCGGGCTCTGCATGAAGAAATATCCCCCAAACACCCTAAACTACAGGCTTAGACATCGCTTAAGAGAACAGTTATAGGGCTAGGGGAATAGCTGGGGGGCACAGTGTCTGCCTGACATGTGCAAGGTCCTGAGCCTGATTCCCTGCACCAAAAAAAGAACAAAACAGTTACAAAGCAAATTTAAACTTCTAACTACTGTTGTTTTTCACCTATTGGAATTGGTAAAACGAGAGGTTTCGCAGTGGCCATTGTGGTAGCACAGACCTATAATCCCAGCACAGGGCAGGTCTGTGAGTTCCAGACCACCCTGGGCTACACCTCGAGGTACTGTCTCAAAATATAAAAAACAAAAACCCAGCGTTTGAGAATGATGAGCAAGAGTATGGGGAAAGGAGTGTTCTCATGACTTGTTACTGTGGTAGACATTTTATTACAGCTTTCAAAAGGGTAACTTGGCAAAAATAATAAAAATTTTGACTGAATATGCTGTTGGATATGGCACAACTGCTTCCAGAAATTTACAATTTGCACATGCATACAAATTTGAATAATTCTAGCACTGCATAAAATAACAGAAAAGGGCATAAGAATCAAAGTGCCCATGAACATAGAATCATTTAATATGCTACCAAAAATCTATGTAATGGGTAGGGCATATCCAGATGGATTAGAATGGGAAGATGAACAGATACATGAGGAAAAATGGGGAATATTAAGAGATTTTTAAAATGTTTTTTCTAAAAAACAAAAATAACAACAACAAAAAACCACTTAAAATGCAACCATCTCTAAAGCATGCATAAGTGGCAACAGCGGCCCCTCTGTGGAGTAAACTCCAGGAGGGAACAGGAGCAGGGACTTTCAAATTTCCTGTTTCTGAGTTTTCCAGTTAAGTATTTTTAAAATGCACAAGCTTGCCAGGGCCGGTGGTGTATGTCTGTATTCCCAGCACTTTGGGGATGACACAGATTCTAGACAAGTTGCCCAGCCTAGACGAGGACTTTTGCTCCTCCTGTCTCAGCATCCCAGCTAGGTAGGATTACAGGCATGCACCACCTCGACCTACTGAAAACTTCTTAGGAAAAGCATCAGGTCAGTGTGAGAAAACATGCTTACTGCTGATTTTTTAAGAATGTAAAACAGGGGCTGGGGATTTAGCTCAGTGGCATAAGTACCTGCCTTGTAAGCAGGGAGTCGTGAGTTTGATCCCTGGTACTGAAAGTTAAAAAAAAAAAAGAATGTAAAACAGCATGATGGTTAGGCTGTAAGAATGAAAGTATTTCTATCTCTTAGAAGATAACTACTAATTGGGCTGGGGATTTAGCTCAGTGGCTTAAGTGTCTGCACCTACTTGGCATGTGCAAGGTTGTGAGTTTGATTCCCCACAACAAACAAACAAAAAAAGGTAACTACTGAAAAATATTTAAGAAAAAAGTAGCCACTGAGGAGGTTGAAGCAGGATACTACAAATTCAAGGCCTGTCGGAACAGTTTATGGAGACTTGGAATAATCTGAGGGTGAGGAGCGGTGCCAGGCTGGGGGAAGATCCAGGAATGGAGACAAGTGAGACGGCTATACCCGGGAACTCAACACATCATTCTCCCTGCCTCTGCACTGCATGTTTTAAATTTCCCTAACAGAGCTAGGCATGGTGGCTCACCCTGTAATCCCAGCACTTGAGAGACTGAAGGAGGAGGATTGCTTGGAGTTTGAGGCCAACCTGGGCTACATAATGAAGTCAAGGCCAGCCTGAACTGCACAATGAGACCTTGTCTCAAAAAATTAAACTAAATCAGCCAGTGTGGTGATGCACTCCTATAATCCCAGCACTCAGGAGGCTGAGGCAGGTGGATTGTTGCAAGTTCAAGACCAGCCTGGGTTACAAAAGTGAGCCCAAGGCCAGCCTGAACTGCATAGCGAGACCCTGTCTCAAAAAGACCAAAAAAAAAAAAAAAAAAAAAAATTCCATAGTAATTTTTTAAAAATCAGATTGAAAATCTTGGCTCTTTCAAATGCCAGAGGAAATTTATAAACTGGTAACTTGATTAGGAAATAACAAATATGTTTCACTTACTACTTAGGACAGCTCACAAGGCAAATATGTCCCCAAGACATTGCCGTCTGGGACCGGCTTGGGAGGGCAGACCCCAGCTCTGCACCCCCGCCCAGCACTTCAGGGTGCCCCACACTACCTCTGGCCTTCAGCGAGGAGCTGGACAGCTTCTCCCCTTCGGGCTTCAGAGTGGGTGGCTTGTTGTGCACCAGTCTCCACCAGCCCGGCTCCCCGAACTCCTGTGCCCCCGAGCGGAAGTACATGGGGCTCCCCACACTTAGGCAGCCGGCCACAGTGCTCCACCAGGTGGAGGTCTTCTTCCTGGAGCCCGAGAAAAGCAAGTGGCACTCAATCCACTCTGTGTGGACACATGAAGGGCCCAACACCCTCTCTGACAGCAGGCTGTGGATGGAAAGGACACAGTGGAGGGATCCTGGGGCAAGCCTGGGTCTGCCTGGCTTCAAATCTTGGCTCCACCTCAGTTTCTTCCTCTCAGAGGCTGGAAGAGGAAGTAATTCAGGCAAAGCACACACGGCATCCCAGCACTCTGCCTCCCTGCCTCCCTCCCGGGGCCCTCCCTCTCCCTGCCCAGGAAGCACAGCTCTCAAGAAACACAAAGAACCAGAAACCCAACTCCAAGACCGCACATTTGAGTTTTGGTTTGTTGTTTGTTTGTCCCTCTATGTAGCCCAGGCTGGCCTCAGACTCACAGCAATCCTCCTGCCTCAGCCTCGAGAATGGTGGAATTATAGGCGTGTACCACCATACCCAGCAGGATTGCAAATTAAAAACTGGTCTGAACAAGGAGACCCTGTCTCCAAAAAAAGAAGGAGAATGGGGCTAGGAACAAGGCTCAGGGGAGAATGGGCCTGGCAGGCCCAGGCCTCTAGTTTGGCTCCCCCAGACCAGGGGAAAACAAAAGACAGACAGACAGACACACAGACAGATGGCCTTCCAGAGGTAACGAGAACGGACAGACTCCAAGAGAGCAATCTAAATGGGTGCCGCCAGCAGCAGCCATTACCTTTTCTCCTCTGACCTCCTGTAATCTACTTTCAAGGACACAGTTCTGTGTCTTCAATGAATTGCTCACCCACCCGCCCCTAGGGCCACCCTACTTAATCACACTCTTGCTCAATTTTTAACACTCTCTTCAAAAACACCATGCCACGCCTTCCTCTGGAAGGAGAAAATTATAGAAGCTGGGTGTGGTGGCATACACCTGAAATCCCAGCAGTTAGAAGGCTGAGCCAGGCAGATTGCAGGGAATCCAAACCAAACCTGGGCTACATAGTGAGTTCAAAGACAGCCCGAATTATAGTAAGACTTTGTCTCCAAAAAAACAAAATTACAAAAACTCACAATTTTGTAATATAAACTTGCATTCTAATTTTTCATTTTTTTTTTTTCCTTTTTGAGACAGGGTCTCACTGTACAGTTCAGACTGGCCTTGAGTTCACTCTGTAGCCCAGGCTGGACTTGAACTTGCAAAGATGCTCCTGCCTCAGCCTCCCAAGTGCTGGAATTACAATGCATGCTCTTTTTTAACTCTTAGTTTTAAAAAACTTGAATTCTTTCTAGGTTTAGAAAGCCACATAATGAAATCCTGTCTCAAAATATAAAGCAAAACAACAACAGAAAGTAAGAAAGCTGGAATTCAAAACTTTCAGTGACTGCCCCAAGTGAAGCCAGTCTCCCGCCATGCAAGGAGGCTGCAGACTGTGCTACCTGCTGCCCAGCAGGAAGGCCCAGTGCTTCTCGATGAAGGCGCAGATGTCCTCTTTCCAACGGAAGTAGCCCTGCCGCCCGCTGCCTTCCAGGGACAAATTGTACATAGCCAACATGACGACCTGAAACACATATAGAATGGGGCAGTCTTGGGGGCGGAGCTCAGTCCCATCTGAGTACAGCGGGGAGGGGCCAGGGTGGGAAGGGGCCAGGGCGTGGGGGTGTGGGGTGTGGGTCCTTCCCCGCAGTGCCTGTGAGCCGCATTCTAGCATTCTACGCTCAGTTCTGTACAGTTTCCCTGTCACCTACAGAGGCCTGCTGGCGTCTGAGGACATTAGGACTGAAGGTGGACCAGGCCACCATCACAACACACACACTCACGGCTTATGCGGCCTATAGGATGGCGCCCACCCTTTCAGTCTGCTCAGGGTCTGAGCTTCACCCATGCACACAGGATGTGAGGCTGGGGCTCCAGCTCCCCACCTGAGCCAGCACCTCTACTCCTTACAGGTAAGGGTTCAGAGCCCTATGTGGAGAGATGACCTCCTGAAATAACACACAGTCTTGCTGCAAAAGACTCTTAAAAACAGAAAAACAACAAAGGAGATGTAAAGATCACTCAACATCCACCATGGAGAAAAAACATTTTCTGGGTGTGATGGTGCACGCCTACAATCCCAGCACTCTGGGAGGCGGAGGCAGGATTGCAAATTTGAGGCCAGCCTGTGTAATTCGGTGACTTAGCAAACTCTGTTTCAAAATGAATAAACACACAGTTGGGGATGTAGCTCCATGCAGAGGCCTTAGGTTCAATCCCTAGTTCCAGAAGGACAAGCAGAAGAAGAAAGCAGAGACAGGAGAAAGAAACAAAAACAGAAGGAAAAGCTGGGGTTTAGCTCAGTGGCATAAGTGCCTGCTTGGCAAATGCAAAGTCATGAGTTCAATCCCCTGTACAAAAAAAAAAAGGAATAAAATAACTTTTAGCATTTTGATAATTGTCTTTGCATACATTTCTTTCCATCTGCATTTACATAGTTTTTTGGGCTTTGTTTTGGGCACTGAAGCTGAACCTTTGCACTAACTATGACCCTAAACGTTTTGAACTTTTATCCTGAGATAGGGTCTCACCAAGTTGTCCAAGCTGGATCTGAACTTCTGACCCTCCTGCCTCCACTTCCAGATGCTGGGATCACAGGTGTGCACCACCATGCCCAACTTCAGAGGATAATTCTTAAAAAGCTCTTCTTCTTCCAAGGAGTACCCCGAAGCTTTAAAAGTCTGCTAGGCTGCAAGGAATGTCCCTGGCACCTGTGTCACCAGCATTCAATCCCAGCGACCCTTGGGAAGGGCTGTGTCTATGCCGCATGGGTCCATTTGCCCCCTTAACCAGGGAACACGATCGGCTCCATGATCAGAGTTCTCAAAAGCACTGCTCTGTTTGTATCAGGTCCACAGAGGCCAACAGACATGACCCAGTGTGGGTGAAGCTAAGGACAGGAGGAGAAGCCCAAAGCTGGACTGCGGCACACAGTTACACACATGGTTAAGTATACAGAACACGGCTGCCCAACTGCCCCCCGAGTAATGGTGCAGTTCATGTGTATCATACTCAATTTAAAGAACAAGTCATCGCTCTTTTTTTTTTTTGAGACAGAGTCTTGTTTCATAGTTCAGGCTGGCTTTGAACTCCTGCCTCAGCCTCCAAGACTGCCAGGGTTACAGGCATGTGCTTCCACACCTGACTCTACCTATATTTATTTACAAATCAAAAAAAGACTTCCTGTGTCTACCACTGACAGAACTCATGAGTGGCCTGATAAAGTACTGATAATTAAGATAACAATAGGGGTTGCTATAGCCACTACAATTTACAAAAAACATCAGAGTGGCCAGAACAGCAAATCTAAAATTTTTCTCTTAACTGTTTTTTTTTTTTTTTTTTAAGTCACTAACTTGAAATAAATCTCTCAACTGTTTATGTTCTTCAAAGCATGGTGCACTATGAGTACTCACCATGTACACAGGTGCTGGCTACAGGCACTCAGTGTGGCTGCAGAACAGCACCCAGGTCGGGGTCTCCCAGGCCCCTGCCAACATCAGCAAGAGCTGAGTGTGAGCCCCAGCACAAAACCCACAAAAACCAAGGGAGTCTGCATAACTCAGCTTTTTCAGGACTTTAAGACTATAGGATTGTTTTTCTTTTTTTTCTTTTTTTTATGGATTTCTTGACATGGTCTCACTGTGTATCCCAGGCTAGTCTGCCACTGGCAGTGATCTACCAGCCTCAGCTTCCATAGTGCAGGGATTATAGGTGTGGGCCACTAGGCCCAGCTCACATATAAATACTGATATAGTCGGGGATTTAGCTTAGCTGTATAAGCGCCTGCCTGGCAAGCTTAAGGTCGTGAGTTCAATTCCCGGTACTAAATAAATAAATACTGATATAAAAACAAAGCCAAAAATATTAATACAACCAAGAAGTCAGTGGGAAGCTGCTGCTGAGAGCACAGTTGGCTCAGACTTGTGTGGGCACCAGAGGCAGAAGTGGATTTAAGTATTCTCCAAGGAAAAAATACTCAAACATCTAAGTTGAAACAAAGCAGGCTGAGCTCCACATACTCTCACTCTCAACACATATTTGGCTCACATCTAGTTTCAGTGTGATGTTGTGTGGTTTATTCTAAAGTGGCTGCCAAAACATGTGAACTTCATTTCCTATTTGCTGTCCATGGCGGGTGAACACCTGTAATCCCAGCTTCTGGGAGGCTGAGGCAAAAAGGTCACATGTTCAATTTTGGCCTGGGCAATTAAAAAGAAAAATTAGAACTGGAGATGTAGCTCAGAGTGACAGCCCTGAGTTCAAACTCCAACATGGCAAAAATTAATTCACTAATTAAAATCAGAATTTGGCATTACATATTAACAAAGCATATGAGATTTCCAAGAATCTCAAACCCAGTTCACTGGGTTAGCAGTTGAGTACTTTTTCCAAAAACATATCTCCAAATATTCCATATTGTCTTTTCACTGTGAAATAAAGTCCCCAGTCAGGTGTGGTGGCACAGACTTGTAATCCCAGCACTCGGGAGGCTGAGGCAAGAGAATAGCCTTGAATTTGAGGCCAGCCTTGCCTATGCAGGGAGTTAACAACCACCCTGAAGTACATAGTGAGACCTCCGCTCTAACAAACGACAGTCAATCCAAAAGCTCCCACAGGCCCCTCCAACCTGAACCCCTCTGCTTACCTGCTGCCATGTCAGCTTCAGCCGCTCGTACTGCTCCTTGCCATCTGCAGAGCAGTCAGCACAAGTGAACCTGAAAAAGTTATCACCCTTAAGGTAACTGAGCTGTTCCCTCAGCTGACCTAGGAGAAAAACAGAAGTCACATCACAGGCGGCTCCAGAGTGGCTGCTACCCAAACGCTGCTGCTCAGCCCTTATAGGGCCATCCAGTGCACATGCCCAGGGACTCCTTTGTTCAGAGGCTGTGGCTCCACTAAGGCCAGACCTATAGGAGAATGGGGTGTCCCCACTGCTCTGTCCTGGGCCGACACAGGGGAAAACAAGCCACATTACACCCTGCGGTTTTCGGACACCTGGAACCACTGGGACAGGGACTCTGCTCCAGTGGAGCCTGGAGTGCCCGCACAGAACCACAGGGTCTAAGGGGAGCTTGGCAGTGGCCAGAAGCGAAAGGGGCAGAATGAAGGCCTAGGAGCTGGATACCCACCCCAAAGGAGGGAGACAGGAGAAGCAGGGGACATGGGTGAGTGGCAATCAATGGGGAGCAGGGTCCAAGGAGGGCGGGGTAGCCTTGGGGGCCAGAGAGATGTAGCTGCAGGGAATACACAGGGTGCGGAGACCCGGGCTGAGAGTGGCTTTGCATCTGTGTAGGGACAGAGGTCAGCAGGTACCAGGCCACACAGGGCAGGTGAACATTGACCCTGGGAGGATGGAGGGACAACCGCTGAGACTGGGCAGAACCTCTCACAGACTCAGGCACAGGCTACCCAGAAACAGGAAGCAGTCCATCCCATGCTTTCTGGGAAAACATTACTCTTTCTTTCTTTGGATTTTTTTTTTTTTTTGAGACAGGGTCTCATTCTGTGGTTCAGGCTGGCCTTGAACTCATGGAGATCCTCCTGCCTCCGCTGGAATTATAGGCATGCACCACTATGCCCAGCCTTAGTCTTACATTAGTCTTTTTTTTTTTTTTTTTTTTTTGTCTTTTTCGTTTTTATCGGTACCAGGGATCGAACTCACGACTGCCTGCTTGCAAGGCAGGCACTTATGCCGCTGAGCTAAATCCCCAGCCCCTCTTACATTAGTCTTACTAAATTAGTATTAATCTGATTAGTTGAACGCACTTCACCAAAAACGTCTACAGAAAACATCCCATTTCATACAGCTCTGTTCTCTCTGAGGAATCCTCTGGCACAAAGCACTTCCCATAGCCCTTGCTATTCTTGCCTGGAGAGAGCCTGAGCTGCTGGCGATCACATGGCGGCTGGCAAAGCAAGCTCGAGGGCTAAGCAGGGGTAGCTGGAAACTCCAGAGGGTGATTCTTGTCACCAGGTAAGGGAGGACACACACACCACACCACACCCCCCAACCCTGAGTGGGAAACAAGAGGGGCCCCCCAGGCAGGGCTTCAACATCTTTAAGCAAATTCCAACCCTGGCTCAACAGACTGTGGGATTTCCCACATGAGCTGAGTGGAGCAGGGGAATTTTTTTTTTTTTTCCTTTTGTCAGGGTCTCACTCTGCAGTTCAGGCTGGTCTTGAGCTCACTTTGTAGCCCAGGCTGGTCTTGAACTTACTACAATTCTCCTGCCTCAGCCTCCCAAGTGCTGGGATTACAGGCATGGGCCACCATGCCCAGCTCAAAATGCAGGAATCTTTAAGAGCTTTAATTCTAAACTGGGGCTAGAATTCGGCCCCCAATCTATAAAATACTCTTGCTAAGAAAAATGTGGTCGGGGCTGGGGATTTAGCTCAGCGGCATAAGTGCCTGCCTTGCAAGTGTACAGTCGTGAGTTCGATCCCCGGTTCCAAAAAAAAAATAAAAGAAAAATGCGGTTAATTCCTTAAGTAACACAGGATTTCGAATTTTCTAATTTTTATTGGGTTACCATCAGGAATGTTAATTTAACAATGGGATAGAGATTGACAATAATTTTTATCAGTACAAATGTATCTTATAGAAACTTGAATTTGATCAACTAAACTAACAATGAATATAAAGCCGACTGTTTCATTTGGGTCTAGTGGACACCCACGTTTCCTTTATGGCTGGAAGAGCAAACCTTCACCCAGGGACTGACAGAACAAAGGACTGAGAAGCTCCTTACTGGCTGGGATCCACTTTTGGCACTTGTCACAGAAGTAGGACAGCTGCTCCTCCAGCCACGACACGTCGCCCTCGTCGCTGTTGAGAGAGTCCCCGCTCTGGTCGTGTGACAAGTCCACAGAGGCCTGATCCTCTGACTCGACGATGAGGAGGGTCTCACCTTCCACCTCGCCCTCCTCTAGCCCTTCGGAGGTGGATGTCCTGGTGGCCTCGTCATCATGGCGGCTCAGCAGGCCGCTCAGGTGGACGCTGCTCTCCATCACACTGGGCAGAAGTACAGGGAGCAGCTGGGGGCCTCCTCCCTTGGACAGCAGCCTGCACGGAGCATCCACCTCGCAGTCTCCCCGCTCAGACGCACGGGTTCTTAAAGGAGGGCCCGAAGACACAGGGTCCCCTGCTTCACTCCATCAAGCCTAAAAGGACAGTGAGGAAAGGAGGGCAGGGGTCCCACAGAGCTCCTCTGCCCTGATACACACACTCGATTCACAGAGCAGTCTGTCCCAGAAACAGGTCACGCTCACTAAAAATCACGTTTTCTGAGATCCTTTTTCTAACAAGATCTTCTTTCTTTCTGCTTCAAGTTGCTCAGTCAAAATAATCTGCTCGCCTAAAAGACGAATGTTTTCCTTTTTCCGGTTTTGCCTCTCAATGTCTCGGATCACTCCGTCACGAAGTCTCTAAAAGCGTAAGAAACAGATTTCAGTAACGCCCTGAGCAGGTGGTTCCCATCCTGTGCCATTCAACTCCAAATACCAGCACTACCAAAATACACTTCAGATGCCCGGATTCCAAATACCCGATTACTATTTCAACTCTCTGTCCAAATGTGAAATGTAATAAAGAAACCAGAAGGCAAATGTGGTTGTGTGCTATGTTATCACCGAGATGACTTCTTAGCACAGCTTAAGAAATTCCTGAACATGGAATATAGAAAACATCACAGGAAATAACAAAAAGGAAAAAAAAAAAAAAAAACTGGCCCTACATTGAATTTCAAAACCTTTAACTGCTGGTGCACAGCTGCAGGCCCAATACTTTGGGAGGTTGAGGGAGGAGGATCAAAAGTTCCAGTCCTGCCATGGCAACCTGATGAAACTCTATCCCTAAGAAACAGGGACACAGTGAAGGATTTGGCTTTGATCCACATTGCTGCATGTGGCAGCAGCACAGGTATGTGTGTGTAAAAATACTATAGTAAAACTGTGAACTATTTTCCTGTTAGCAGTTACCGGAGATGAATAAACATCAACTGTAGGCACGATGGTGCACACCTGTAATCCCAGCAACCTGGGAGGCTGAGGCAGGAAAATCACAAGTTTGAGCCCAGCTTGAACAATTTAGTGATTTAGCAGAACTCTGTTTGAAGATATAACAAAACAGGCTGGAGGAACCAAGATATATCCTTTTTTTTTTTTTTTTTTTTAAATCAGTATCAGGGATTGAACTCCCCACCGTGCTCTTGCAAGGCAGGTGCTTATGCCACTGAGCTAAATCCCCAGCCCCAGGACATATCATCTATAGGTGCAAATTCCTTATGATGAATGTGATCAGTGTATACCTAAATTGTACCAATAAACTTAATTAGAAAAAATAAAGTAAAAAGGGCTGGGGATGTAGCTCAGTATGATAGCCTTCAGTTCAATCCCTAGTGTGCAAAATAACAACTATTAAATAATAAAGATAGAGTGCATGGCAGGAAAAAATTACCGAAATCTTAAAAACTATTAAGAATACAAGAAAATAAGCCAGAAAATAAGTCAGGAATGGTGGCACACACCTGTAATCCCAGCACTCAGGAAGCTAAGGCAGGAGGATCACTCCTGAGTTCGAGGCCACCTAGGCTACAAAATAAGTTCAAAGCCTGGCTGAACTACATAGCAAGACCCTGCCTTAACAACAACAAAAATTACAAACAAGCCAGGCATGGTGGCTCATGCCTATAATCCCAGCACTCAGGAGGCTGAAGCAGAAGGATCATTGCGAGTTCGAAACCAGCCTGGGCTACAAAGTGAGGTCAAGGACAGCCTGAACTGCACAGAGATACCCTATCTAAAAAAAAAAAAAAAAATTTACAAACAAAACTCACTGATCAGTCACAAACAGAACATGAGACTACTAGTAGCAGAGGGAAAATATGACCCATCAAATTATCTTGACAGGCACTATAAGACGGAAGTTCAGAACAGTGGCCTGATAATGAGAAATACCAACTCAGTCTTTAGGGGTAACTGACATGTTATCTTTCACAGAATTAAGCTTTTAACAACAGCCTCAGCAGGCAGAATTAATGGGGGTGGGCCCTGAGGTCTGGGTATGTTTGCTTTAAAACTTTTTAATATTTTTTTTGTGTGTGTGTGTGTGGAACCATCCTAAGTTGAGATCCATCTGTACTTGGTTTCTTTAGGGTTGGATGGGCTAAAAGGGAGGTAAACAAAGAGCTTACCACTGTGCCTGGTGGGTGGCAGCCAGTCAGGAAATAATGGTCATTAAAAGATTTTGTGCCATCTTTCAAACCTCTGGACACTCGTGGTGCCAATCTCATCCCACCTTTTGCTTTTGGGAAAGGAAGTCCCTAAGGAAGGTCTACAGGTGACATAAACGCTGGTTACACTAGTCAACCTTTTCTTCATTTCCAATCACCAAACTACTAAACCTTTCTGTTTTCTATTTTCCCAGTCTCTAACAGTGATTCCCAACCCTGACTATGTGCGCATCCTCTAGGATTTGGATACAGATCCACACCACATGGAGCCCCCATACTCAACACATCTTAGTTTAATGGGAGGCGTCTTAGTCACACTGTTGCAAACTTCGCAGGACACAGGATTTGGAGCCAGGGCTCTTCACACAACTCCAGTCCACCCCTACCAAAATCACTGACTTTAGAACTGCGCCCAAATCCGCTCTCTACTTCAAGCTTCCGCGGGACTAGGACCTCCTCCTCCTCCTCCTTTAGGCAGGGAATCTTCCTCCATTCCTAAAACTGAACCCCCTCAAATCTCTCATTCTTTTTTTTTTTTTTTTTAAGTCTTTTTCCTTTTTATCGGTACCGGGGATCAAACTCACGACTGCCTGCTTGCAAGGCAGGCGATTATGTCGCTGAGCTAAATCCCCAGCCCAAAATCTCTCATTCTTGCTCTTGATCCTAACTTCAAATCTCTGGTCTCAGCTTGCTCTCGACTCCTCCCATTCATTATTTTCCCTCTTCCGCAAACCAGGTTCAACCCCTACACCTGAGGAGGTGTCCCGTCGCGGCTCGAGGACGACACGCTCTCTACACTACCACTGCCGCGGGCTACAGGCGCAGGGCGGCCCCGGTCCCATTCCCGTACCGACTCCCAGGCTGCCCCGCGCCAGCCGCTCACGCCCGGCCCCACACGCCGCCGGGCTCGACGGAGAACGCGGGCTCGGGGCGCACGGTTGGACGCCGATCGCCAAGAAAAGCATATTTCCGCAAACACGAGTGCCCTGGGGCAAACCTTGAACGGAACCCTGACCCTCCAGAACCTGCGACCTGTACGGTGCAGGAGCCGACAGCGACCTCTGCCAAGGACCCCGGCTGCAGCGAGGGCTGCGAGCAGCGGACCCGGAATTCGGGGCGGGGGCCCTGACACAACGCATCCCGGAACCCCGCTCTACTTCACAGGAGACCGAACCCCGAGAACGCGCTCAGGGCCGGGAAAGACCCACGGGACCTCAGGCCCAGGCCCGACGAGGGCGGGCCCGGCGGGGGCAGCCATGCGCCACAGACCTGCCGGTCCTGCCGCTGCCTGAGGTGCACGCCAGCCACTGTGGCCGCGGTGAGCAGCACGGACAGGCCCAGCGCCACCTTGGAGGCCCGCGACATCCCGCGCCACCACGTCCCCACCTGCCGAGGTCATGGAGCATGCGCAAATGCCGCCAGGCGGGACCCTTCGAGCGCAGAGCCCTCGAGCCACAGACGCGCCAAGTGCGAGCAATCGAGAGCCGAACACCGAACGCCCTGCCTATTCCACAGGCAGGTAGACCCCTCCAGTTCTAAAGTGCTCCACAGCTGAGCCGAGTGTGCCCGCCGTCCCGTCCGCACCTCGATACCTCCAGGGTGAAAATTGGCAAATTCAAGCCCAACCTGGGCATTTTACTGACTCAACGAGATCCTGCCATAAGATAAATTTTATGGGTGAAATTTTAAGGGCAGGTGAAGTTGCACAGTGCAGAGACCGTAGGTTCAATCACCATTATTGCAGGAGAAGGAGATCGAAATCCTTCCAGTTAAAAAGCAGACTGCTGAAAGTGGGTCTCATTGTGTTACCCAGGCTGGCCTCTAACTCCTGGTTTCGAGGGATTCTCCTGTCACAGCCTCCTGAATTTCCCACTGCCGAGATTACAGGTGCACACCACCGCGCCCCCCTCGCCTGTGTACTTCACCTCCTTTGGTCCTGGGAATGGAACTTTGCACCTTCTACAGGCCATGCAATCTGCCACCACTGAGCTATGCTCCCAGCCCCTACCCAGGCAAACTTCAAGAGGTGCCTTTGTAGCCTTAGAGCCTCAGTTTCTGCACCAGTAATGCAGGATTCCTTACCCTATTACCTAAAAAAAGAAATGATAGGCGGGATCAGTGCATTGTGTGAGGTGTCACACTGTGCAGGGTGTCACCGTGAGCATAAGTGCTATGAGGCAAATATTACTCTTAAGAAATGCAATAAAATAAGCCAGGCGTGGTGGTGCACACCTGTAAACCCAGCGCTTGGGTAGCCTGAGACAAGAGGATCGATGCAAGTTTCAGGCCATCTGGGGCTGCGTGGTGCTTTTCACCACTTGATGGTATGCTGATACTTTCACAACTCAGTAACCTCTGCAACCATAATCATATAAAATCATAAAAATATCCCACTTAAGCTTATGAATGTTTAAACAGATATTCCACCTTTTAAAAAATCTGACACAGTTAACACATGGAAGATTTTTTAAAAGTAGAATACACTTCAAGAAGATGAGCTGAAAAATTAGTCATAGTAGGAAAACGGCCCTCTAACTCCCTGATGTGCATTCTAAAGACTCGAGTCTGGAAAGTCACCCCTGTACAGTGATAAAAATACCTGGTGCCTGCCACAAGTAAAAAGCAGTCTAATATAATTGTTGTTTCTGTAAAGAAATATGCAAATAAGCCCTGATTGCTTCTTATTTCAAAGTTCTATTTAGGGCTGGCACTCTTTTCCAATTCAATGACCCGTCCTCTTCAGGACACAAACAAATGCTGTAAATTGGAATGACACTTGGAAAAATTTCTTCTTTTTTATTTTATTACTTTCCTTTGTTTGACATGTTTGTAGCCTCTATGTTAATTTATTTGTTTTTTGTTTTGTTTTTTGAAGACCTCACTATGTTGCCTAGGCTGGGTTCTAACTCCTAGTCTCAAGGGATCCTCCTGTCTCAGCCTTCTGAATTTCCCACTGCCAGGATTACAGGCGCACACCAACCTGCTCCACTTGCTTGTGCACTTCACCCTTTTCAGAATTGGGGATGGAACTTTGCATGGGCCATGCAATCTACAACCACTGAGCTATGCTCCCAGCCCCTACCCTGACTACCTGTGTAGCCCAAAATGCCCTTGAATTCGTGGTGATCTTCTTGCCTCAGCCTCCAGTGTGCTGGGATTACAGGAATATGCCACCACACCCAGCTGTCAGAACATTTTTAGGCATGTACAGTGTCTTAGAATAACAGCAATTTTCTGGGACAGCTTGAAGAGTTTCTACTAATGAACACATTTTCAAAAAGGAAATTCAAGACTTGCCAGTCAGTTTTTTTCTGGTGTGGATCAGGCTGATCATTCCAGTAAACCTTGAGGATTCAGAGTAACTCTCCGCCCCTCAAACCAGCCCCAAGAAGGGAGACAGACTGTTATGTCCATCCACCGCTATGAAAAAGGCAAGAGCAACTGTTGACAAGTATCAAATGCTTTGTGTCTTCTAGAATTCATGTGTTTTGAATGCTCTGTAGAATGGCATTCCAAAAATGACTGCTGTTAGGGTTTCTGTCGAGATTTCCAGTCTCATGCAGGGATGTGCTCATAGGCAGGGGCTCTGGGAGATGACTAGATCCTGGGGGCCTGATATTCACCCATGCATCAGTCCACTGATGGGCATATAGCAGGCTGTGGTGCTGGGAGGCAAAGCCTGGTGGAAGAGGGGGTTTCTGGAGGCATAACAGGAAGGGTTTTCTCTCTTCTCCCTTGACCCTTCTCTCTGCTTCCCACTACCGCTCCATGAGCTGCTTCTCCTCTACCATGTACCACCCTGCCTTGGAGCCGGCTGATCATGGACTGAAAGCTCTATAAACTGAGCTAAATAAACCTTTCCCCTTTTAACATTGGGTGTGGGATACTTTGTCTCAACAATGAGAGAGAAGTAACTTTCATGAAGAGAAGTAACTGTTGGTGAATTTAAATCCAGCTAAATTGCATCAGTATGGTGCTGAGCATGGATGGCTCACCTGAGGACAGTTGCCAGCATAAAAAGATGTGGCAAGAAAGAGAGAGATGTTGTGAGTTTTCCTAAGTGTTGTTGTTCGGAGCTGTTGGTTCTCCTGGAGGAGCTTGTCATGCTGGCCTCCCTGATAGGAACTCAGCTGTTATCATCTCAGGAGCTCAGGACCTGTTGCTGAGGATGGCTGTGGTACTTTTTGGGGGAGCCCTGGTCCTTATTTTGAGCATTGTTTCTTGGCTCCAGTGTAGAACCCTCAATGTACTGGCACAGATCCTTCACCCGACTAGGGTAGAGTTTTTTAGCGTCTGCCACTGACCTTTGGGCCTTACCAGCACAGATCTGTAAAACACACTTGTATGAGTCCTTGTCGTGGGCTCTAGGCTTCCAGCTGGACTCATGGGAGGCACTGTCATGGGCTCTAGGTCTTCAGTGGGACTCATAAAGGATATTGCTGTGGGATTCAGGCCCTTGGCTAGATTTTCTAGGTCTTTAGCATTGTGGACAGATTTCCGGAACTTTGTTGTGCTTAACTCTGGTTGACCATCATAAAATAGCATTATAAATTCTGTGTCCTGTATATAATGGTTCTCCTTACAACCCCTGACTACAATAGTAACAAACACAGAATTTGGTACCAGAGAAATGGGGTCATTTCTGTGACTGTATCTGACCATGTGGTCCAAGAGCCTTTGAAAATGTCTTATGGGAGGAGTTGGGAAAGGTTCAAAGATGTCACCTGAAAGTATAAAGTAAAACCCTTAGATTGTTCTGTATGAGAGATTCTGGTCAGAGCTCAGAAAACCAGTAAACACCAGGCTCAGAAGGTTTCTGCTGAGAAGGACTGCATTGGCTGTTGGAGTCCAGACAATGTGTGTTATGGCTTAGCAGAAAGGTTCTGCATTTTGCATGTGTCCAGAGATTAAGGTGAGTGGTATAATTAAACTGGTAGAAGAAATTTCAAGGCTGTCTAATATTGAGGCTGTGGCATGATTGCTGTTGGGGGTTTTTAGCCAGATTTTGTGTTGAGAATCAAGAGCAAAAAGCCCAGCAGATGATTCAGAACATTGTGTTGGGGCTGGGGATTTAGCTCAGCGGCATAAGACCTGCCTTGCAAGCAGGCAGTCATGAGTTCGATCCCTGGTACCTATAAAAAGGAAAAAACAAAAAAAGAACATTGTAAATTTGGCCAGAAAAGAAGCTCTAGCAAAGATGTGGACTGCAAAATTAGAGCAGAGGAGATCATGATTGCTGAAAAGGAACAGGAGAATAGGACAGATGGCCTGAAGGCATCACAAAAATCTACAGGACTCTATCCTTTGTAGCCTTAAAACTGCAAAAGTGAGACTGCTTTGAGAAAAAAGCCCTAGAGCACCATATTCCAGAATGGTTGCAGCACAGAGAATTTGTTCCCCAGAATTAGATTCAGAGTGCTCAGTGATCCAGGTGCTTGACCCCTACAGCTAATATAAAAAGAAGCTTGGCTACTACTCCAGTTGGTAGCAGACCTTGGCATTATCCACATGGCACAAGCTGAAGGTTTCCACCCAGATTTCAGAAGGCCTGGGAGACAGGGAGTGTGCCCCTAAGAGGGCAGTGTGTGAAGCTGTGAGTGTGAAGCCAAATGTGCACTGGAGACCCTAAAAGTTTAGAGAAGCCAGGAACATGGATTTTCTGAGGAAAAGTGAAAGGAAGGAGCTGAGTGGGCCCAACACAGAAGCCATGGGAGTTACAGTCACAGCAGCCTTAGTGGTGGAGCCATCTGAGCCCTTTGGAGCTCACAATTTGCTATGGATTGTCTTTGATGCTGCATATGGAACCACAGGACATCGCATTTGCCCTGCTGGAATTTGGACTTGCTTTGGTCCCATTCATTTGTACGCCACTGTTTGTAATGTCTATCTTGTGCTATTGAATGCCAGAAGTGTTTAACTTTCTTTTCATTTCATTTGCACAGGGTCTCACAGCTAAGAGCTTACCTTAAATCTCAGAGACTTGGGACTTGGGCCCTTCTGCAATGCTGAAACTATTAGGACTTCACCAACTCTTAGAAATAGACTACATGCAGAAAGGAATTTATATGAGTCTTTGCGGGGCCAGCGGTGGAATGTATATGGTTTGTATCTAGATGTCTCCACAAAGCCTCATGCCATCTGGAGGCAGGCTTCTAGAGATTGCTTCATGGTCCAGTGCTGGGATTAAGGGTGTCAGTGTTATGCCTACGGTGGAGTGGGAAACTTGCACGCAGTACAAGGGACAGAAAGGGCTGATCTCTGTCTCTGTCTCTGTCTCTGATTCTGTCTCCCTCCCTTCCTTCCTCCTTCCCTTTCTCTCTCTCATTGCTTTTGCTGTCTTCCAATACCATGAGCTGTTGCCCCTGTCAAGTGCCACCCTTCCTTGGAACCAGTAGATTACGGACTGAAACCTCTACAAACTGTGAACTAAGTAAACCTTTCCTCAAAATAAATTAAAATAAAGTAAAATAAAATAAAACCTGCTGGACTTCTTGAGAGAAGTGCACATGCAGGGTTTGTGTCCAGGATTTTGTAATTAACAGGTCACACCTATTTCCTCAGCCAGATTTTCAATGCCCTAATCCCCTATGTCAGTGTGTGTGTGTGTGTGTGTGTGTGTGTGTGTGTGTGTGTGTGTGTATTTAGTGCTGGGTAATGAACCCAGAGTCCCAGAACTAAGCTACATCCAACCCAGTTTTTTCACTTTAATATAGGCTCTCACTAAATCTCTAGGTTGGGCTCTAACTTGTCCTCCTGCCTCAGCCTCCAAAGTGGTAGGCTAAACAACTTTTTTATGCTTATTAACTATTCATATATTTTATTTGGGGAACATTTGAGGGTTTGTTTGTTTGTTTTGTCTTTTTTGAGACAAGATCTCACTATGCAGTTAAGGCTACCTTGAACTCACTTTGTAGCCCAGACTGACCTCAAACTCACAGTGATCCTCCTGCTTCAGCCTCCCAAGTGCTGGGTCATTTTTTGTTTGTTTGGTATTTTGAGACAGGGTCTTGATAGGGTAGTTCAGGCTGGCCTTGAACTGACTATTGTAGCTCAGGCTGGCCTCAGGTAGCAATCCTCCTGAGGTGACCATATGCCACCATGCCCTGAGTTCCTTTCTAACTGTTGTAGGAATTCATATTTATATATTCTGTATATTAATCTTATCAGATACATGGTTTGCAAACATTTTCTTTCATTCTATGGGCTTTTTTTTATTTTTCTTTTTTTGTTTGGTTGATTGAGTGTTTGTTTGTTTGTTTGTTTTGGCTGATTTTTGAGACAACTCTCACTATGTAGTCCAAGCAGGCACTGAACTCGCAATGATCCTCCTGCCTCAACCTCCTTAATGCTGGGATAATAGTCATGTGATACCACACCTATCCCTTGAGCTGTTTCATTCTCAATCCACAAGAGAGTTTAATTTTTTGTTTGTAGTTTTTCTGAGACAGGTTCTCGATGCATGGTTCACACTGGGTTTGAACTCATGGAAAGGGAACTCAACAGGCCTTTTACCAAAGAAAACATACACTTAGCCAGTAAGAATATGAAATGATGCTCTTTTTCCTTCAGGGAAGTACAAACTACTACAAAAATAATTTTCCAATACACACATGCTATGGTGGCCCAAGTACACATCCCCGGTCCACTGAGTGCCTTGAGGACGGAGCCACAGGAGCATCCTGCTTTGAGGCAAGAAGGGAGTTTGGATCCCAGCATTGCATTAAGGCTCCTCCTGAGTCCGATGCCCCCAAGGCAGGATCCCTGGCCCTACACAGCTGGGGGAGAATGGCCAGGGGCCAAGGCTCTGACTCTTCCCTTACCCAGATGTGGGAAACTTGCCCTTCTTTTATTCCCTGCTGCAAATGTTTCCACCAAGGCCACTCCACTGCATATCCCATCTCACTGCTGCTTCCTGCAAACTGATATTGACAGATGGGGTCTCTGTTCCCTTCTGCCAACCCAGGTGAGCAAGAGAACACCGCAGAATGATGCCCTGTGGCCTCCTGGCTGGACTGCGGGCAGCAGACTGGCTTCATCATGGTCCCATCTTGGTTCTGAAGAGCTCACAGGGAGCCTGGCCTGAGGATCCCAGGACATGTGGAGAAGTCACAGTGAGTGTCCTGGTCACCCCAGCTTGGGTTCTAGGCAACAGCCAGTGTCAACACCAGACCTGTGCAAATGAGCCTTCACCTGAACCCACCCTCACCTCTGAGTTGAGACATGACAGGGCAGAAACTAAGCATTTTCAAGAGCCCTGTACAAGTTCTTATCCCACACAATCAGGACAATGTCACATTTGTTTTAAGTCACTACGCTTTGGAGTAATTTGTTATGCAGCAATAGGTAACTAATACATCCTGATCTCCAGTAGGCTCTGGGGTCTCTGTTCTTCAAGCTTTTTCACTATTTTGCTGCAAAAATCCATTTCCTTCATTTGCTCCCTGTCCACCGCAACCTTTGGACTCCCCCTTCCCCAATCTATGACGTCTGCTGCTGCTGTCACCATGCACTGTCTTCTGAACTGCGTGGGCGCCTTTCATCCACACATCATCACTTTTGTTCTCTGTGTTCCAATATGCTTTGCTTATATTGTTTTCAATGCTGTGTTGTTATTTTTGTAGACTCAGGGACTCATAAGAATGAATGCATGTGCTTAATTTGTTATTTTTCCCAGGCATGGTGCACACATCTATAAACCCAGCACTCAGGAGGCTGAGACAGGTGGTTTGCTGAGTTTGAGGACAGCCTGGGCTACATAAGTGAGTTCAAGGCAATATAGTGAGATCCTACCTTAAAACAAACAAAAACTAATAATTGTCATTTTTCCTATATAGTCAAGATGACTTAGTCCTATGAAATAATTTTGTGGCAAAAAATAGAAATGACCTTTAGCTTATTTATAGACACACACATACATGAAGCACTCTGTGGTTCTCAAATAATTGAAGGAGCTCTGGAATGACCAAGTCATGAGAAGGGGAAGAAGATAGACAACATTAACCAAATAGCTACTCCTATTCTGGAGCTCTCCAAGAGACAGAGGTGAGCTACAGACATCATTTTACATCTTCTAGAAGATATTCAAAAAGAAAGAAAAGGAAATGAAAGAAAAGGGAGGAGAGTCTGGGCATGATAGTGCATGCCTACTATCTAGCACTTGGAAGCTGAGGCAGGAGGATTGCCATGAGTTGGAAGCCAGCCTGGGTTACATAGCAAGACCCTGTCTGAAGATGAAAGAAAGAAAAAGAAAAAGAGAAACAAAGAAAGAAAGAAGAAAAGAAGTGAGAGGAAGAGAAACAGGGAAGGGGAAGGGAAGAAAAAGGAAAGGAAGAAAAAAAGGGGAAGGGATGGGGAGGAAAGGTTAAATGCATTTTCATATATTTTATCTTACCCAATATACTCAGAATAACCTTTCAATGTATAATCAATTTAATTTGGGGGCTGGGAATATAGTGCAAGGTCTGAGTTTCATTCCCAGTACCAAATTTTTTTTTTAACTTATTAATGAGGTTTGGGGCTGGGGATTTAGCTCAGTGGCATAAGTGCTTGCCTTGCAAGTATGTGGTCGTGAGTTCGATCCCAGGTACCGATAAAAAAAAAAAAGAAAAAGACCAAAAAAACCGCAAAAAACTTATGAATGAGATTTGTCTTGATTTTTGAGATTGGGTTTCACTACTTAGCTCAGATTGCTCTTGAACTCACGCTGTAACCGAGGCTGGCCTCTAACTCATGGTGATCCTCCTGCCTCAGCCTCCCAGGTGCAGGGGTTACGTTATAGGTGTGTGCTACTATCCCTGATGAGATTTTTTTTTTGTTTTTAGTACTGGGGACTGAACCTGGGGCCTTGTGCACACTGAACAAGGGCTGTGCTGCTGAGCCACATCCCCAGCCATTTATTAATATTTCACATCTTGTTCTCACTTTTCAGAATAGTGTGTTGTTCATACTCACAGCACACCTCAGGTCAGACTAGCCGTGTTTCAAAGGCTCAGTGGCCACGTGTGCTTCATGGCACCACATTGGACAGTCAGATGTAGAAAACAATCGCCACTGCCCCGAAGAAACTCAGTCCCCTCACCAAATTTCCATTGTTATTCTGTTTTGCCTCTGTCTTATGTTGCAAGCATTCAGGCCTGCAGGAGAGAGAAATCCCATTGGTCCATCTTGAGCCTCACCTGGGCCACAGCCAAAAGCCACCATCCAACACTGAAGACCAGGCTACAGCTGTGACCTCCCATTCTGAGCTGAGAAGCTGCTCACCAAGCAGCCACCCCTAGCTAATGGTTAATCATTCTGTGTGTAGTATCATGTTAATTCTGCATTTCCTGGTTCTTAGATCTCTTGAAGGCCTGGCTAGTGTGGGGAGATGGCCCCGCCCAGGCCTGGCCAGTACAGAAAGCCAGTGAAGGACTGGCCTGCAAAGGTCCCCTTGTGTGCCAGCCGCCCCAGGCCCCTCCTCTATCAGGCTGTCCCCGCCCTATTCACCAAGCATGGCCCCCAGGTCCTGGAGCCCACTGCAATCACTCTACTGAGTCAGTCCTACGCCTGCTCGGCCTGCCTCACCCATCCGTCCCAGGGAAATGTCAGTAAGACTGTCTGTGCTCTCACCCTGCTGGGCTTTTGACCAGCCCTGGAGCTTATGGGGGTCCCTGTATGGCCTGCTGTGTCCCCTAGACCTGCAGTCCAACCATTTGGCCAGGGACCAGTTCCATGGAAGACAGTTTGCCGGGGGTGGGATTGGGGGTTGGGAGGATAATTTTGAGCTTAGATTCGCACGAGAATCCCACAACCTACATTCCTGGCCTGGCAGCTACCAGCACATTTTGAGCTCCTATGAGAATCAAACTCCAATGCTGATCCAACGACACAGATAGGGCTCAGGTGGTGATGGGAGTCCAGGAACAACTGCAAGTGCACACAGCTCGCATTGCTGGCCTCCTGCCGTGTGGCCTGGACCCTCGAGGGCCCCAGACCTGTTCCAGGCCCTGGTCCAGAGCATGAAGAATCCCTCTACCTGGGCTTCCCAGGTGTCCCTGGTTTCACTGGTTTCTGGGACCCATGTGTATAATAAGCTTCTTCCTTCATGATTTTTCACTTCTGGCTCATTTCACCACACCCAGTTAAACAAATGCTAGGCATGCTTTAAGATAAAGATTGTATCCATCCCAAGGGTACCAGGTACCAGACGGTTCTCAGGGACAACTCCTTTCCTGCACCCTGTCCAGGATAACCCCTGCTTGGTTTCCCATGGATCTTTCTAGGGTTTCTTTACCTTTAAGCAAACAGAAATATTTTCTCTCTCTACACGGAAAGGGCAGCACAATATACCAACTGCAATGCTTTCAATCCTGTGGCTTCTACTGGTGTCATTGTTCCTATTCTCAAGGTCTTTTTTATTTTTTTAAGACAAGGTCTCACCATGTAGTTGAAGCTGCCTTCACAGTGACCTCTTGCCTGGCTGGCCTGGAACTCATGGTGACTCTCCTGCCTCAGCCTTCCAAGCGCTGGGATTACAAATGTATGCCACCTTGCCTGGCTTCACACCATATTTAAATCAACATACACTTGACTCAGGTTCTGTTTGGAGTGCTTCTTGGCATTTTAAGTATGGCTTAGAGTATCTTGAAAGCTTGGAAAAAGAGTAAAAATTCAAAGCAGAAGTTTATTCGGACCTAATATGTAAATCACTTCCTTGAATACATGAATGAAGCTCTTGTTTTGTGTTGTTGCTTTTTTATCTTTTATCAAAACTTTACTTATGAGAAGTAACACTAATTGAAATGGAAAGAGGCCTGACACAGAAAGAGGAGAGAAGGGAGGGAGGACAGTGCTGTTCACAGAAATGGGCTTCCAGTGTTATCTGGAGATGGAGAAACATGAGGGCACCAAACAGGAATAAGAAGGCTTGTGAGGCAGGGCAAGGGCAGCCTGTTTCAGAAGGCAGAGCCAGGCACAGCAGCCAGCCGCTCTGAGGTCGCTGTCGTGGTCGTGCCCTGCTTTTCCGCTTTCCGGTGGATGTGCCGCGTGGCCGGGAGGGGTGGGGTCTGCACCTCTCCCCATGCTGCGGCAGGGTCTAGGGGCCTCGGGAAACCCACGTTGTTCTCGGCGTTGTGAAGTCTCACCCCGAAGCCACTAGATTCCAAGGGCCGTCACCCTGTTGTCACCAGCGCAGGGAGGGACTGCGTCTTTGTTCTCGTGGTCCTGGGCTCAGCACTGTGCCCTGTCTATCGGGTGGGTATAGGTCAGCAGTATGCTGAAAAGAAACGAGTCACCCACTGGGATTTGGGGCCCTTTATGCAACATTTCCTAAACATGCACGAATCAGAGGAAAATAATTTATATTTGTAAGCATTTTAAAGCACTGAGATATTATTTATACAAGTAAAAGTACAAATCTTAAGTGCATAGCTTAGTAAACTTTTTTGCTTTGTTTTGTTTCTTTTGAGATGGGGTCTCACTATGTAGCCCAGGCTGGCCTCAAACTCAAGGCGATACTCCTGTCTCAGCCTCCCAAATTATAGGCATGTAGTGCCACATCTGGCTGAACAAACTACAATCTGCGTGTCTATTCTGTGGTAATGAATGTTTGGAAAGTTCTCAGTTTAGGAAGTCATAAATAAAGCTGCTAAAATATTCAAATCCATATCTTTTTGAAAAAAAAATTTTTGAGACAGGGTCTCACTATGTAGTTCAGAGTGGCCATAAACTCACTGTGTAGCCCAAGATGGCCTTAAATTCAGAGATCCTCCAGTCTCAGCCTCCCAAGTGCTGGGATTACAAGCATTTGTCACCACTGGCTAATTTCTTTTCCTTTTTTTTTGGTTCGGTTTTATTGTTTTCTGAGGGTCTTACTCTGTAATTCAGAGACTAGTATTGAACTTACTATGTGGCCAAGGTGGGTCCTGAACTTGAGGTGATCCTCCTGCCTCAGCTTCCCAGGGCTCTGCCATTATACTACACCTGGCCACATTCCTTTCTTACTGCTGCTCGTGTGGGACACAGATGTCCACTTCCATTGGGTGTGCTGGCTGGCAGGGAGCTGCCTCTGCATGGGGACTGCAGAGACTGGCCTCTAGCAGGACACTCTGGTCAAGTTCCAGGGTGGTGGAGCTGGTGACACTGGGGGTCCATGTGGTGGGTCATCCTCTGGTGTCAGAGGTATTTCGGTGAGTGTGTGTGTGACATTCCAGCCTCTCTTGTAGGTGCCAATGTAAATGAGGTTGCCAGGTTTGTCCTAGCTCAGGGGAGGAATTAGTCATCATCTGTGGGGTTAGGGTTATGCCTGGTCCCCAGGGAACCTTTCACTCCCACAGCTGGCACCAAGACTCACACCTGCTCCTCACACCTGCACTTCCACCTGTACTTGGCCTCAAGTAACAGAAACTGTGTGTGTGTGTGTGCATGTGTGTAGCTTACTAGGAGGGCTGCAGCAGGCCCAGCTGGCTGTCACAGGGTGTAAAAGCTTGTCCCCAAGCTGACAGACCCAGGGTTGCAGTTTGTTGCTCAGAGCTCCCCTCAGTTGGGCTGGCTGAGACAGGGCCACCCGAGGGGTGGCTCTGCCCCCTGGTCCTCCTGCGCCCCCACCGCGAGGCTCTCTGGCCACCACCCTCATCCCTGCCCCAATGCCTGTGCCACCCCAGGGTCCTGACCCACGAGATCTGCAGAGCCAGAATGCTTGTGAGCTTTGCCAAGTGGATGCACAGCTCCCTCTCCAGCCCTTCCACACCCAGCTTGCTGAGCTGTACAGCAGTTCCAGGCTCCAGGCAGGATAGGGATCAAGGGAGTGTGCCCTTTGACCTTCCTCATGACCTCTGGGGTTTCCCAAAACACATGCACACAGTGGCTAGTCTTCCAGACAGGAGAGACTGTCCCACCACAGCCCCCTTCCTGGGGGCTGCTCTTCGGTCTCAACACTAGAATCTGCCTGTTGCTGCCCCCTCTCTGTTTGGCTGAGGATGGAGGAACCCTCTGGCTGGGACGTACTGCCTTCATGCACCTGGCCACATCCTTCTTTACAGATCCTCTCCCAGGTGGGTGTGGTGGTGCATGCCTGTAATTCTAGCATCCAGGAGGCTGAGGCAGGAGAATCGATACAAGTTTGAGGCCAGCCTGGGCTACACGGTGAGACCCTGTCTCAGAAAAAGCAAATGCCTCTAGCAGGACCTCTGCAGCCAGACCACAGGGACTCCTGAGCAGCTGGCCAGGTCCTGTTGATGTTCTGATGAAACCTCCTCCTAGTCTCCATGTCCCCTCTTGGAGAGTGACAGTGTCTGTGCACCTGTGCAGGACATCTGTGCATGTGGCAACCGGCCCAGGGCTTCCCAGGGGCTGTGCACACCACGATCCTTCCCTGTGTGATTTTGGGCTTATCTTGGACTCACCTGGTCACAGGCAGATGGCGCCAGCTGCAGCTGGTCAGGCACCTGTCGGCCTGCCTGTCTGTCTATCTCCTTTTAGCTTGGGCTTCTTTGCAGGCTTCTCAGGCTTACTCTGAGACAGGAAGTGAGCTGTCTGCTGTGGTGTATGCCTCCAATCCCAGCACTCTGGTGGCTGAGGCAGTAGCATTGCCTGGAATTCCAGGCCAGCATGGGCTACTCAGTGAGACAGCCAGAGCCTGTCCCGTCATCCTGTCCCTGACATGTGGCGACACTGTCACAGACCCTGCAGAGGTCACAAAGGAGAGAACCTGGTGGGAAGTCCAGCAATATCTGCTTTTTCATTATTTATTTACTGTCAGGGTCTTGCTATACAGTCCAGGCTGGTTTTGAACTCATCATACAACTGGGGCTGGTCTTGAACTCAAAGAATTCCTCCTGCCTCAGCCTCCCAAATCCTGGAATTATAGGTGTGTGCCACCATGCCTGGTTGAAATCCTGACTTTTTTTTTCCAGTACTGGGAATCCAACTCATGACCTGACGCTTGTCTGTGCTGCTGAGCTATATTTCTGGCCCCCTGCATTTTTAAGGAAAAAAATTAGGAAATAAAGTATTTAGGCATTCCTGGTATTTACATGCATGTGTAGAAGTTAAGTACATACATGTACATAACTAATAAATGTTGAAACTGCTTGGAGCTAAAAGCTCTCCATCTCTCCCTCTCCCACATTGTCCCCCAAAGTCAGGTAGCTCAGAGCCTCACAACTATCAGCACATGGGGCACTCAGGGGCAAAAAGCACCACTGGCCTAAACCATAGATGCTGTTTTTCTCTCACTCTACAGAGTTTGAGACCAGGCCTTGGCAGGCCATGTCTCAGCAGTTTTTGGTCAGTCCCGAGGGCCCACCCTTCTTTCAGCTCTACCACCATTAGCCTCTGGGCTTTAGCATCCTGCTGAGGTCCTCACGGTCACAAGGTGGCTGCCACACCTGCAGACCCTAGCTGAGCAGGGTTCCGCATAGCACATGACTCATTGGATGAAGCAATATCACACAGCACAACTTGCTGGAGGGGATGGGGATGGGTAAATCAGTTTGCCAAGTAAAATTGGAGTTCTTGGTTAAGGGCAGTGGGGAGTGCATGTTCCATGGGCAGAAAACTATTTGCCACTCATGTCAGGCACATGTCTATGAGTAGCACATTGGTCGGTCCTGGGTAGGAGAAGGATACACGTTTGGGGGTGGCCACCTTTGAGGGCTGGGAAGTCAGATCTCAAAATCACCTCTGCTAGCTGGACTCAGTGGTGCATTCCTGTAATCCCAGCACTCAGGAGGCTGAGGCAGGAGGATTGCCATGAGTTCAAGGACAGCCTGGGCTACATAGTGAGACCCTGTCTTAAGAAATCAAAATGGACAAATGCAACCCCCCCACACACACACACAAAGTAGAAACAAAGGAAAAGACACAAAAGAAGAGAAAAAGGGAGGGGAAAGGGGGAAGAGATCTGTCTAGGCTGCCTTCCAGAGGCTACTACAACAAATTATACAGACCTGGTGGCTCAAGTTGCCTGAGCCCAGTCTCTCGGGGTTCTGGAGAGGAAGCATCAACATGAGCTTGCTAGGGTAGACCCAGACGGGGTGGGGTTACACACTCTCTCAAGTATCTGGGCAATTGCTTGGCCTTCTGGTGGTCACATGGCCTCCTCCCTTTGTCTGTGTGATCTCCTGTCTTGGTGTATCTGTCTCTCTGTCTCTTTTCTGAGACAGGGTCTCACTGTGTAGTTAACACTGGCCTTGAACTCACTATGTAGCCCAGGCTGACCTCAAAATCACAGCAATCTCCTGAGCTCTGGGATCACAAGTGTATGCCACCATGCCCAGCTTTTTTTGTCTCATGACACTGACAACTGCACCTAGGATTCTCAGAGAATCCAAAATCATCTCATCAGGAAGCCCAGGGATTTAGCTCAGTGGCAGTAAGTGCCTGCCTGGCAAATACAGGGTCATGAGTTCGATCCCTGGTACCAGAAAGTAAGAAAGAAAGAAAAAAACAAAGAAAGAAAAAAAGGTGCATTGTGACAGAGTATGCAAAACCCAATGCTGATACAAAATCATCTCATCTCAGAGTACTTAACTCAATTTCATATGCAAAGAGTCTTCTTCCAAATACGGTCACACAGTGTCTGGGAATCAGACTGTGGACATCTTTCTGAGGGGCGAGGAAGGAGTGAAGTTTTCCTCCTACCCCAGGGAGAGGGTCAGGAGGCAAAGTGCAGACACTGTTACCTTCCCTGCTTGAGGGTTGCCAGGCTGGGGGTGTAGCTCAAGGGCAGAGCAATTGTCTGGACCTGTGTTAACCCAATTTATCTCTTTGATGTTGTCTCCAAAGTTTAGCTCTGTGGATGCCTCCCCAGCTGCAACATGGCAGCCTTGTGAATGTGCCACTCACAAGTATGGTGACAGGCTAGGGTCTCAGCCACTGAGGAAAGAACTGGTTTCCAGGGTCACTCCAGACAGTGCCTGAGCTCAGTCAGGCATTGGCCAGCTATATCACTGTCACTCTGTGAGACCAAAGTTACTTTAAGGAGAAGATGGTTTTAGTTCATGGTTTCAGTCCCTGGCTGAAGCCAGACATGGTAGCACATGGCTGGCTTCCCGGCACCCAGAAGGATGATGTAGGAGCCTTGCTGACTTCGAGGCCAGCCTGGGCTTCATAGCCCTTGGACTTACTATAGAGCCCAGACTGGTCTTAAACTCAATGATCCTCCTTGCCTCAGCTTCTCTGTGCAGAGAGGCCGAGAATGGAAACAGAGGCTCATCCAAAGAGCAATCAGGGTCCTACTAGGGAACCTGACCTAGATGGGAAGGAGTTGAGAAAGGGCTTTGGTGACAAAGCCACACAACATAGGATGTGCCTGGAGTGTCAGACTGAAGAAAATAAAATGCGCTGGTCTTACTCACAAACCTGAGTTCACAAACACCAAGCCTATCGAATGGGCAAATCCCACAGGGACAGTCCACACAGTGACTGTCACACTTTCAGTGCCCAGATATCACAGATCTGTGCTCCATGCATATCCACCATCTAGTGAGCTCAAAGCTCAGTCTCGGAAGGGTCGGCCGAACTGTCTCTGTGGCCTGCGTCCTAGGAGAAGCAGCTGTGGCTCATTAGCAAGGGACATGGCCTTCTCTAAGTCACTGCGGAAACAGAAGAGAGCATGTGTCATTAGTGAGGGGGCTACAGAGGAACAGAAGCAACAGAGGGCAAGTGTATAATTTCACAAGGTTTTGTCATGTAGCAGACAAGATTGAGGTGGACAGTCAATGAACGCCCATACTGGAGAGCTAGGGGAATCCTGGAGTTGCTCATCCCAGGCAGATGGAAGCCACAGAATAGGAGCGATCAAAGATGCAGGGCCAGTTCCAGGTGAATGTCTGGAAGCTCGCGTAAAATCCCCCAGTGCAAGACCCCTGGGAGGCTGAAGAAACTGGAAACCAGGTCCGAAAAATAAAGACTGGAGCACTTCCAAAATGGCCACACTTCCTTCTCTCTCTTTTTTTAAAAAATTTCTTCAGGAGTACAAGGCTATTGGTCAGTACCAACCACATCTGGGGTGGGGCTTTCCTCCCAGTTGGCTGTTTTCATGTCAATCATTCTTCTAGCTCTGTGCTTGGCTCATCTGCTGAGTGGGTTTTAGTCTTTTTGAGATTGATCCAGCGAGATTAGCTGTCATGTGGCAAAAAGGGAGAAAGTACTTTTCCAGCTGGGTAGATAGGGGTAGACAGGGGAATAGAGGGACAGGGACAGGGGCAGGGTGAGGGAAGAGGATAGGAGTTGTTTGACATCTTCAGCATCCCAAGGAGTCATTTTTGCCTTCTCCGATCTCTTGGCCTCGTGGTCCTCTCTCAGCTCCTTCTCAAGGGCTGCTGGCAGCAGAAGCGGCCAGCTGTCCCAGGCCGTGTCACAGCTTCTCCTGGACATAGGGAAAGGAATAGCCACCTGCCCTTGAAGCCATCAATGAGGGTGTGGACAGGGCTCTTAGCGTCAGGCTGAAAGGAGTCACTGGTCTAGAAACAGAAGCTGAGGATGCAAGGAGCAGGGTACACTGTGGGGACACTGCAGACGCGAAGAGATACCACGGACACCAGACTGCAGGGCAAGTAGTGGGCATCTTAGCTGGACGATTCCAGGCAGCAAAGCTTCTCTGCTGCCCTTCCGGACTAGGAAGACCTGGACAATTCCCTCCAGGCTAAAGGGGACAACCCCACCACAAAACCCAGCACAGGCTGGGGGCAGTGTCAGTGGAGCTCAGGATGTTTGAACTCTTCTTTCATGAACATTTTTGAACAAGTACAAGTTTATGGGATCCTGCAGAAAGTCATTTTTCCAGGTTTGTTTTGAGACAGGGTCTTGCTTGATAGGTCAGGCTGGTCTTTAACTCACTATGTTGCCCAGGCTGGCTTTGGATACATGTGATCTTCCAGCCTCAGCTTCCGAAAAGCCTGGGATTACAGTTGCATGCCACCATGCCTGGCTCAAATTTTGTTTTGTTTTGTTTGTTTGTTGAGACAGAGTCTCTCTTTGTAGTGCATTCTACCTCAGCCTCCCGGGTGCTGGAATTATAGGCCTGCACCACCAGGCTTGGCCTTTCCAAGTATTTTAAAAAATTAAATCTACAAAGCTAGGTATTGTGGAACACACCTATAATCCTAGACTCAGGAAGCTAAAATGAGAATCCCTGTGAGTTTGAGGCCAGTCTGGGCTGCATAGAGAGACCTTGTCTCAACAACAACAACAATAATAATATAAGAATCCACAGAAGAATTTGGGAATTTTGGGCTTTTTGTTGTTGTTGAGACTTAGTCCTCTGATATGGACAAACTTTCCACTGATTAGTGTCTTCTCTAATGTCCAATAAAAATTTTTTTTAAGTTCATCTGCAATGAGAGTGACAACTTTCCTCCCTCCATCCCTCCCCTCTTTCCTTTCTTTTGCAATGCTGGAATGAAGGGCTTCAAGCCTTCTGGTGAGCTGGCTGCTGCTGAGCTACACCAAAGCCAATGTTTGTAAACATTTATTTCTAGAAGCTTTGTATTTTTGTTGGTGTCGAAAATGAATTTTATTGTACTGTTTATTTTCCTGGCATTTGGAAATGTGATTGCTACATGTGCTCATTCCCACCCAATGGTGTATGCCATAACCTTGCTGAATTCTCTTATTAATTCTAATAATTTTGAAAGTTTTTTTTTTTTTTTTTGTCTTTTTCCTTTTTATTGGTACCAGGGATCAAACTCACGACTGCCTGCTTGTAAGGCAGGAGCTTATGCCGTTGAGCTAAATCCCCAGCCCCTAATTCTAATAATTTTGAGTTTCCTCAATTGTACGGACTAAGGATTATGGTAGTCTCTGTTCTTCCTTTATAATCCTCTACCTCCGTTTCTTCTGTTTTGTCCTTTGGCACCTGCAGGATATCGACTTAATCTTGGATGGAGCTGTGCACGAAGCTCTATGGGGAATTCGGCTGCAAAATGTATATCAGGCTCTGTGACTTTGACCTGTCCACTTTCCTAGTTCTGTGCTTCAATAACAACCTTGCAAAATAATTTTAGGAATATTTCCTCAACATCCTAACCTCTTGTGACTGTTTGCACCTGTTTTTTCCTCATAGTATGCTGCAAGAGTGTTTCTTCCTGTTTTTTAAAATTCTTATTAGTACACATGTGTAGCACATAACACTTACGTTCCCTGTGTAGAATGAGCATGTGTTCCTAACACATCTTAATTTCGTTTTTTTTTTTTTACCTCTCTCTCTCTATCTCTCTCTTCTCTCCCCTTGGTTCATCTCTTCATCCTCTTCCCATTTCAGAAATATCTGTTTTGCTACTTTCTATTATCTATCTTATTTTGCTCTTGATACTTTGATTTCTCATGTAAGAAAAACCCTGTGCTACTTCAGCTTGTGTGACTGATTTATTTCACTTAGTGTTATGGTCACAAGGTGCACCCATTTTCCTGCAGATGACTCTTGGTGGCAGAGTAGTGCTCCTTTGTGTGCAGACACCTCATTTTCTGTATCCACTCATCTGGTGATGGACATACAGCCTGCTTCCAGTATTTAGCTATTAAGAATTGTGAACTAGGGGCTGGAGATTTAGCTCAAATGCCATAAGCGCCTCCTGACAAGTGCAAGGTCCTGAGTTCGATCCCTGGTACAAAAAAAAAAAAAAAAAAAAAAAAAAAAGAATTGTGAACTAGGACTGGGGATTTAGGTCAGTGGCACAAGCACCTGCCTGGCAAGCTTGAGGCTGTGAGTTCAATCCTTGGTAAAAAAAAAAAAAAAAAAAAATTGTGCTGCTAACCAGGTGTGGTGGCTCATGCCTATAACCCCAGCATTCAAGAGGCTGAGGCAAAAAGATAGCTATGAGATCAAGGCCAGCCTGCATTACATAGTGGGACCCTGCCTCAAAAAGTAAAATACATAAATAAAAAATAACCAAACCAATCCAAAAAACATTGTGCTTCTGAGACAGATGACTCCTCCTAAGAGGTGGAGATCTGTGGGGGAGGAGTGCGGGCATGGTCTGGGCAGCTCCCGGAGAAGTGAGGCCCAAGCACAGGACAGCAGAGCTCCACAAAGGAGAAAAGTGCAAGGTCAGCCTGACCAATCAGAGAATAAGCTGCTGTTTGAAATAGTGAGCTCCCCAGCAGCGGCACTGAAAGTATTCAAGCATGCTGGCTACGCATTCCACCGAGGCTACACAGGACCCTTAGCCCCACTATGGGGCGGAACCTGGATGTGTCCTGTCTCTAGTCCTGCCCAACTTCACGTTGGAGGTTTTGGGTTCATTTCACACTCAGTGTTGGAGGCGTCAAGGAAGACGAAGCCGGTTCTTTTTATATGTTAATAATCTTGATAGAAGACTTTAAGTGCTTGCTTTATTTCCTACTGACCAGACAACTAGAACTATCTGCATTATCTAGGCAGCAGAGAGTTTTTATTATTTTTGCCTAAAGATATCTCTTTAGAAAATGACAAGGTTTTTTTTTAAAGCCTGGCTTTTCTCAATACACTTTTAAAGGTTTTTAAATTGATTCAAGCTGACATTTTTAAGAGCTTCATTTTTAATTTGTATGAAAAGTTTTACAATTTGGTTTTTTCAAAAAAGTCAACAAGGGCCGGGGATGTAGTTCAGCAGCACAGCACCTGCCTGGCAAGGTGAGTTTGATTCTCAGTACAGAAAAAAAGTCAACAATCTGCGAGCACATGTTAGTAAACGTCTTAAATAATAATTTAAAAGTCTTGAAAACCCTTATTGAGTCTGATAAAAAAAAATGAAGTGCATTAGAATTTACTTCTCTCAAAGAAACAGCCAGCAAATACCACAGTCAAGCATGGTGGCATGGGCCTGTAATCCAGTCCTCGGGAGGCTCAGGCAGGAGGACTGCCATGAGTTCGAGGCCAGCCTGGGCTACACAGTGAGTTCAGAATCAGCCTGACCTGCATAGCAAGATCGTCTTTTAAAAAAGAAAAAAAAAAAAAAATCACAGTTGGTGCTTTTCAATGGTTTAAAATAAAAGCATAGTGATTGTGTTATTCTTCATCGTCAAGCCTTTAAATTTTGCATTGCTGAGGTTTCTCACTACTTGAGCCAGTGTGCTATAATCTCTTCAAATAACAGAAACCTATGAGGGATCCAGGTACCCATGGATTTAGAATCCAAAAATCCTGGGGAGAGGGTTAGAAATGGGATCGCCTGTCTTATAAAACAAAGTATTTTTAATGAAGTCTTGAAGACTTTGAAACATTAAGGATAATGGAGCGATTTCATAGCTGTACTATATTTTTACTCTTTCATTCAACCGAGCCCTTTCCTTCTAGAGACTCCATTTCCTTGGCAGATAAAAATACATCCGAGGATTCTCCCAGAAGCTGCACCACGAGCCTGCGAGCCAAGAAAGCAACCTCCTCTCTGCGCACCGCGAAGGAGATGTCCTCCTCCTGGCGAACCGGGATCAAAGTCTTTGTCTTTCTTAGGGGGCTTTTCTCCGACTAAACCCGAGGTTGAGTTCAGTCCGGAGGGGGTGAACCCTCCGGGCAGAGCTCGGGCCCTGGCGCTCTTCCCAGGCAGCCAGCCAGGCTGCGCCCCCAGTGCATCCGCCCGCCCATCCGAAACCCGTTACCAGGCTGCGGCCCTGAAGGCAGACGCCGGGCAAACGAGCCCAAGAGCTCCCCGTGGCCGTGTGGGTTCCCAGCCCGTGGGCTGGGCGCGCGGCGGGTCGGGTTACAGACAGGTGAGGCGGCTGCGGGGTTAGCCGCGGACACCCGGGCGCCTCAGGCCACACGCGCCCCGCACTCGCCCCTGGCGGGAGTCCGAGTGGCCCTCGAGGGGGCGCGCGCCGCACCAGGCTGTGCCTGGGGCCTGGGGTGCACGGGGGAACACGGGAAGATAGAGAATAAAAAATAAAACCAAACACCAGGCTTCCCCGCCACTTGGCCGGCCGAGCGAACGAGCGAGGGGTGCCTCCGACCCTCCAGGGCGGGCAGGCTTTGGGAGAGTATGTCCCGGCCTTGCGATGCAGGGCCCGAATAATGGGAGTGGGCGAGGCGTGGAGGCTTCGCTTCGGAGAAGCTATGTTTGCAAAACGCGCACTTGGCTTTTGTTCCCATTGTGTGACTGTTTGAGGGTGAGGGGCTCCTGTGTGGAAGCTGCTTTGGAGTGACAAGTTTTGTTTTTCTTAGGTTGACACGAATCAGTAAAACATGTTCTAAACGTACCAAACAAATGTATTATCCCTATAGTTATTTGGGGAGCTTACGCCACCAAATGACCAGCGAAGAGTCCTCAGGCGGCTTCTAGCAGTCTCCTTCTTCGGGCCACTGAGATTGTAGCACTCTCAGGGAACGACCCGCGAGGTCCAGAGGAAGAGCCCTTTTCTGGCTTGCTCGTCATGAACAGATACACTTGTGTGTGTGTGTTGGGGGGGGGGGGTAATTCGGGAGCTCCCACTTGCCGGAGAGGGATCCCAGGAAATGGACATGGGGTTTACCTTAGAGAGTTGGTCCCGAGGCGCCTGGAATGGGGGGAGGGGGCGAGGGTCGATTAAAAAATGTTCACTTTTTTTAAAAAAAAAGAGGAGGGGGAGCTGAGACGTTAAATTATTTTGCAAACATTCATGCCGCGGGAAGGGCTGGGACAGGCCGCGCGGCTGCCGGAACCGGTCGAACAGGTAGCGAGCTTGTTGACACCGTTATGTTGCAGGGCGCATGCTCGCTCCCAAGTTTCCTGGTGCCTTTTCTATTCCACCTTAGGAAACTTTTTTCTCCCGGCGTGGTCTCAGCCTCGATTTAAGGCACCAGAGTCGGCGAGCCGGGAGTAGTGGGCGCGTGGGGCGCAGGGAGGGCGGGGTCGCGGGGAGGAGCGGGGACGCGGCCGGGGACCCAGCGCCTAGCGGAGCAAGGCGGCGCGGGGGCCTCGCCATGCCCAAAGCCTTCCTGGTGAAGCGCAAGAGCACAGGGGCCGCGGCGCGCAGCTGGGCTGCGCTCCCGGACGAGAACCGCGCAGACGCCTACATCCCAGGTGGGCACCCGGGATAGGGAAAGGGCGGAGGGTCCTCTCAAGGAAGGGGCTAGGGTCCCTCCCCATGTCTCCTCCCGGTCGCCGGGAGTCTTTCAGAGTGGGAGAGCGGGAATAGAGGCCGGGAAGCCGAGGTGCCCCTTGCTCCTCCCCGTTGCGAACCTCTCCTTGCCCGGCCGGCTGGACCGTTGGCTGCGTGCTATCGTGGTGGCCCGGGGACGGGGCTGAAGGCCCGCAGCGGTACCCTGCCCCCAAGGGAGGGTATAAAAACCCCCTACCCCCCCCCCAGGAGATAGAGGAGGAGGAGGGAGACCAGACCAGCCTTCCTCGGCGAGAAGGAACTTAGCGTGCGCGTCTTGCGCAGCGCGTGGCTCTCAGTCCCTCGTGGGCGCCACGGTCGGGTCTGAGGGTGGGACCTTGGCACACCGGCTAGTGCGAGGCCGCGAGTCCCTGCTCCCTCGCCCACCTCCGCGCCGCCGCCCGCTTGGCGAGATGCCCGGGTCCGGGGCGGCGGGTTCTTGCCGCGGGCGCCCGGGCCTGACGCCGCTTGTGTCTCGGGGCACCGCCTCTACCCGCCCCTCCCCCTGCAGTGGCCCTGGGCCGCCTGCTCCACAGTCCTGAAGACAGTCGCAGCGACGGCGGTAGCAGCAGCAGCGCCGGCGAGCCCGGAGGCGCCGAGAGCAGCTCGTCCCCGCGCGCCCCGGACCGCGACACCCCCGAGTCCCGAGACAACGAGGGCGCAGATGGGCACCTGGCGCCGAAACAGCGCGTGGTTGCCAGGTCGAAAATCAAGGTAGGATGTCGACTCTGCCCTCGCCGCCACCTGCGCCACGCCCTGGCGTCGGGCTCCCAGGCCGGCGCCCTCCCCGCCCTCCTGTACCTGTCCCTGGGCGCCCGCCAGCCTCCTCCGCGCGCCCGGCCTGCGCCCGGGTCCCCACGCCCGCTCTGCGACGCCGAGCCTCGCGGAGGACCAGCATAGCCGCCTGCCTTCCGAGTCGCGGCGTGCTTAGCGGGACGCGTGCCAGAGACCCGGCGTCGTGAAGGAGACGGTGGCGACATCTTGGCACAGCCTGCGCCCCTCGTGATCCTGACCGTGGCCCGGGCCGGCTCCGGAGCGCGGGCGACACGGAGTCAGCGTGGGCGCTTTGGAGGTGTTTTCATCACACCTTAGTGAGTCAGCTTGGTAGGTAGAGATATTCACCAAGGTTAGCCAATGAATGAAGTATCGGTCGGCTCTGCGGTCGCGGTCGGCGCCCGGTTGAGAATTCTAAAATTGTCGGCGGCCGCTGCATGCGTTCTCCACCTGCGCTTCCGGGGTAGAAGTTCCAGCATTATCTGGGGGGTCGGAGGGATCAGCCACTCGCGGGTGAAGGAACCCCGTTCCGCCGCCCCACCCTTTCCCCTGGCAGCTAGAGTTTGTGGTGGGGATTTGAGTCGCGCGACCCCAGTGTCTTGCTTGGTGGGCGAGAGTGCGACCTGGAGAGCCAGGCCAGGATTCCCGGGCCACAAGGCGGAGGTTGGGGTGAGGTGGGGCGGAGAAGAAACTTCACTGCGACTGGGGAAGGCGGCCGTTACTTTCTGCACATTCCTGGCTTCTCGGCTGGCCTCTGGGTGGGCTGGGCACATTTGGTTATGAATTGTGGTTGGAAGCCCGAGCTGGCACTTTAAAGGATGTTGTCAATTGCCCCTGCGATTTACCAGTTAGGAGTGTGACTGAGGGCTGGAGTCACCTGGCCCCAGGCGGTTCTGGGCCAGGTAGGGTTAAGTAGGAGGAGACGGTTTGCTGGGGCTGGTGGCGCGCTCTGCCCTTGGGGAAATTCTACAAAGTGCCCTACTTGCATGTTTATCACCAGGCGGGAAGGACAATTGGAACGTTGTTTTGGGAGCCGCCGTAGCCAGTTTGCCCCTCAGTCCCCTACCTCCAGCCTAGATTTCCTTGGAGAGCAAGTGGCCTGGGGCGAGAGCCAGCCCCTAACCAACCCAGGGGGACGTTTTTCCTGCAGCGGGCGGATAGCGCTATTGGAACCCCGCCCTGAGGGGAGAAACTCGCTGATCGGCTCCAACCTCCGGCGAGCGGGGGAGGGGCGCTGCGCTCTCGGCGAAGGACCGTTATTGAAGCGCGTTCTCGCCGCCGCTTGCCTGGCTCTCTGCTTCTACTCCAAAAATGGAGGCATCTTGGTGTGAATGTGTTCCAACCAGCCAGCTGGGCTGCCTACGCATGACTGTGATCCCAGCGCTCTGGGAGGCTGAGGCAGGAGGATCACAAGTTCTACCTCAGTCTGGGCAACTTAGTGACTTGAAAAGACACTCCTGAAAATAATAAAATAAAATAAAAAGAGCTAGAGGTGTAGCTCAGCGCTGAGTCTCTGGACTGAGGTTGGGGTGTTGGCAGTTTTCATGAGCCCAATCAAGGCAGTGGAACTCTTACAGTTTCCCTAAGAGTTAGTGTCCTTACTGGAGGAGGGACAAAGTCCCCAAGCATGAGGCCTAGTCATGATGAGTGACATTGCCGTTTTCTTCTTTTTCTTTTTTTGCAGTGCTGGTCCTGAATGTGGGACCTGACCTCATGCATGCTAGGTGGGGCCAACCACTGAGCTACCTCTTCTCAGGGCGTTGCTTTAATGACTTGGTTGTTAAGATCCTCACTGGGTAGCAGGCTCTTGGCACCAGAGCAGGCTTGAGCAGGTGCCCATGGGATGGCAGCAAGTCATCCTCCTTGGGGCTCCCTGCTGAGGGCAGGCCAGGGAGATGAGCCTCTAGCAGTGGCAGTTAAGCTCTGTCAGCTGCTTAGCCTTGTGACTTTAAGCTGACTGTTCGATCCTCGGGGCCTCGGTTGCCATAGCTGTAGAATGGAGATAATGACAATCATTTCCTGATAGAGCCGAGAGGATGGAGGATATCAGGGTGGACCAAGATATGCATTCATGTAGCTGTTACCTGGGCTGGTAGAGAGACACAACTATTGTTAACTCTTCCAACCAGGAGCCCAAGCAAGGATGCAACCCTGTCCCACAGAGGCTGTGGAGACTGGAGAGGGTGAGCTCTAGGTTCTGGGGGCAGCTTGGGTGAGGAAACAACTCAGAGAGCTGGGACTGCGCTCAGAGCATCACAGGGCCATGCCGGGAAGTACGGGGGCGAGGGTGCTGCTGCGGGTGCAGAGGGGCTGCATGCCAGATGCACTTGTGCATCTGTAGTCTCCTTGGGGCCTCAGTCCTGCAGCTGTAAAATGGGAAGAGGATAGAGTGGGCCTCAGGAGTGTCAGGTAGGCTAAATAAGTAATGGATGGTGGTTAGCACTTTCGTGGATACCAAGTGTGGCCCAGCAGGAAGTCGACCAGGCAGTGACCATGACAGGTATGGATGCCCCATCCCATGTCCTCCAGCAGCCACCTGGCTTCAGGGTGGTGAGTGGGTCTGAGGAGAAGCTCTGGGGCAGCTTGGAGGCAGCCAGCCCTGCCCACCCCAGCCCTGCCACCACCTTGGACAGTGGGCCTCCCAGCAGGTTGTAAAAGGGGCCCATGATTTACAGAACAGATAGGAGAAAGACGATGCTATGTTCCAGAAAGGTTCTGTGCCACGTCCCCTGTGTGGCCCTTCTGCAATAGCAAGAGCTGCATTTGCAGATCTCTAGCTGCAGGGTGGAGGGGCCCTAGGAGTGCTGACTTCTGTCCCTCAGAGCCTGCCCAGAAATGAGGTCCAGAGCTGACTTGAGGCTGGCAGCACCCAGGGCAGGACAGCCTGGCCGGACAGCCTGGCGGTGCCTGTGCCTGCCTTCTCTGACCCCCACACCACTCTCGCTCTCCTCCCGTGGGTTCCTCAGAAGAAAGCACATTTGGATCCCCTGAAGCACTCTCTGCCTCTTACCTCTTCTCTGGTCAAGATGAGTGAACTTGGGTGGCCTCCCTGCAGTAGAGTCCAGAGGTGGCACAGTAGGCATCTGTCACCTGCCCAGTCACTTTTGCTTGCAGCCAGTCCTGTCCATCCGCACCTGCTCTGCTTTCCTGACTGCATCATGCATCTCAGAAGCATGGGCCATACACGTGGTGGTGGTCCCCGAAGATGCTCCCTCTGCCCGCACAGCACTTGTGTAAGCAGCTCCATGATGTCCTCACCATGGACCGAGGAGACACTGTGTGCTGTCAACACCCAGTGTGCACGACTATTTCAGTGCATGTCTCGGGGGCTAAGATTGAAGGGTGTGATTGCACCCGTGTGAACAGTGGCGTCCTCTTTGCTGACCACCTCACCAATCCCTACCACCTGCAGTTTGCTCAGTTGTCCCATCTGGTGTTCTAATTGATTTACTGGTTTTTCAGTTTCTGGGCCTCTGCCTTCCCTTTCTGTTCTGTGGCAGAGCAAGTTGATTTGTTTTGCAGTTAGAACCAGTCTGGGTTTGGCTGGACACCCTGCCACTGCGCTGAGCGTTCCTTGGGCACTGCATCTACTCCTGTGAGTGGTCAGGGTTATGCTGCATTGTCCATTGTGTTTCCCACAGGCACAGTGACTTTTTATTAGGATGGGAAAGTGAGCTCCTTGGGCTTGGGTGTGGCTCAGCGGTAGAGCACTTGCCTGTTGTACACAGGTCTAGGGTTCAAGTCTCAAAACCAGAAAAACAATTTCCAGTGAAGAGTGACTGTGTGCTCAGTGGCTCTTGTCCTGGACACACAGGACAGCACTGCTCTATGTGCTTGGTGAAATGGTATCATTTTGGCTGGAATATTTCACAGCGGAGATGTGTTTCCATCAAGAGGGACTGGATGTTATCTCTTTTTGTGTGATGCCAGCATCTGTGATGTTGAGAGTCTAAATGCTTTGGATTATTCAGTATTGTAAAATAGTGCTATTAAGCCAGACATAGTGGCTCTCACCTGTAATCCCAGCACTTGGGAGGATGAGGCAGGGAGATTGCTGCAAGCTGGCCCGGCTATATAGAGTAGAAGGCCAACCTGGAGTACTTTGCATGTGTATTGAGAAGGGAGGGACAGACAGTATTAGTGCTGCATTTCTCTTTTTTTGCTGATGTATATTTCCTTTCTGTTTTCATTTCTGGGGCGAGAATGCAGGACCTTGCTTGCGCTAAGCACATTTTCTGCCACTGAGCCACATACCACAGCCTGGGTGACATATAGTTCTATAGAGAGGTGCTTTTTTCACCTACCGTTTGATTCCCAGTGGGAAAGTTTATTTGGGAAAGTCAGAAGAATTGTTAATTCCCTGGGTTTACCTTTATTTATGAATGAAGATAATCAATGGATTGATCAGGATTCTCCATTGATGGCCAAAGAGTTTTTTCATTTGTTGTTAATTAGGGTTTTTTTGGGGGGTGGTACCAGGAATTAAACTCAGGACCACAAACTTGCCAGGCAGGTGCTACACCACTAGCTGTATCCCCAGCCCCCTAAATAGTTATTTCTAGGCATTGTTGTGAATTGTGACTTTTCCCCTGATACTGAGGATTGAACCCACAGTCTCAGCAGGCTTCATATGTGTTGTACCTCTAAGCTACTTCTCTAGCCTTCCCTCCACTTTTTAAAGTTTTCATTTGAGACAGGGTCTCACTAAGCTCCTGAGGCTGGCTTTGAACTTCTGACTTTCCCACTTTAGCCTCTGAGTGGCTGGGATGACAGGTGTGCACCATAGTACCTGGCTTTGTGAATTATGATTTTAAGTAGATTTTTTTTTTAAAAAGTGTTCATGTGACGTTTAGAAGGGAACAGAAGTCCTTACCTCTTGTTTCCTGTCTCCTGAGGCAAAATTAAATTCCCTCCTCTCCTCCGCAGTGAAACTTGCTGCCCACCCCGCTGTGTGTTTGGCCAACCAAACTCCACGTGAAGTGCTCCTGCCACAGCCAGAGAGCACTCCCTGTAGGGCTGCAAGACCCGTACTCGGTAGAACTGTGTCTCACAGGGGACACAAGTCCACACAGAGTAAGAATGCAGGCAGAAGAGAAGGCACAGGTGC